AGTGGTTACTTTTGCGCTGCTGCAAAGCATTGTCCCAATAAATCAAAGTGGCGCTGCCCTACTGACGATGGTGGTATTGCTCTTTGCAAGAAGCATGTGCGTGCTGCTGATACCCCAGGATTCACATTTAATTTCGAATCCAAAAAAAACTTGCTCTATTGCATGCTGCTAATGTCGAATCAACGTGGCCGCATGAAAGTAGTGATTACTCAGATTCTGAAGAGTGTTTTCATCCGCCTATACCGATGACAGACATGTCCTGCTCAATCAATGGACACTGTTCCTGCTATGCCAATAGAGTTAGACAATTCCAATGAAGAAATGAAGATCATTCCAGTACAAGCTTTGCTTAATAATTTTATGACAGTTTTGGATCGACCCAACGATATTCCAAGTAGTTACAAGCAGTAATAAATAACAGACTCAAACATATTTCGACTTAAACACCCATATTTACAACAACTGAATCATGTTTGAATAACGCTTTGAATTTAAAATTTTGCTCTACTCGAAAGGAAAAGGCGTTTTTTGTAGACAAAAACTCAAAAAAAAATAGGAATTAATTCAGACAAAAATCTGAGAAATTTGATGGATACCGATGAATTTCAAATCACTGATTGATGCATTGCACACAGGTGATTGTTAAGACAGTTTTTGATAGTTCGAATCACTGCTGGATGCATATCGTTCAGTTGAGTGTACTAAACACTCCGAAATATTTTGAGTTTTCGAATAATTGTTTGATAATATCATCGAGGTGTTTGTTACAGTTAAAAAAATTTAATAAAAACTAAAAAACTTTGATACGATAGTATTATTCCGAATCACTCTTTGAGGCAAATCAAAAAGTTGATCCTTACAGGTAACTTAAAAAACATTGTCGACAAAAATTTGAGTTAGTTTGTACATTTCCCAATCCCTATTAGACGCATATATCTTCCATATGATTTTGCATACCTTAACCAAAAACTTGCATACATTATCCAATATTATCCTCAATCAGCTGATTCTTACATGTGATTGAAAAATTTAGCCAGGAAAGACAAAATGTTTATACTTTTCCCAATCAATATTTGATACATATCATTCGGTTGTTTGTTACAGTTGATTAGAAAATGAATATCCAAAAACAAGAAATTATTCGTATATTTCCGAATCACTCATTGCATCCAAATCACTCCTCTATGCATCTAAAATTGATTTAAAAGTTTTGAAAATAACCACAAAATTTGAAAAAATCACCTGAATGATATGCATATCACTGCATATCACTCAGTTGAGTACTTTAAAACGAATTAAAAAATAGGTCGTCTAAAAAATAGGTTGTCTTCGAAAAAAATCACAAAGTTTGAAAAAATATCTGAAAGATATGCATATCATTCAGTTGCATATCACTCAGTTGAGTACTTTAAAAAGAGTTTGTTTGATATCATTCAGTTGCATATCACTCAGTTGAGTACTTTAAAAAGAGTTTTAAAAAAAAAGATTATCAATTGTTTATTTCCGAACCACTATTTAACATTAATATCACTCAAATGATGGTTGGAAAAAGTTGAAAGCAATTCCATCAGATAATTGTTCTTAACATGTCTCTAGTTTTCAAACAGATGAAATCAGATCTGGTAATTGGACATTCTAACTTGCGGCGTTCCTTCCAGACCATTCAATTAAACCCGCTATTGGAACAATAAGAACCAGTAGACATTCTTCGACCTAACTAAATGTGCAGCTTGTGTTGATACTGACGCTTCCTTCTTTAACTAATCTCACTATTGACAACTAGGGGAGCGAGAAGTTCCTCGGGGCTAACTATTCAAATGATTAACAAAATAAACCGATTGGTCGACCTAATAATCTGGGTTTTTACCCCTGATTGATCACAAGGCATGGTTTATCGGCAATAGGTAGCAGTTTGAAGATCCAATTAAAAATATTAACAAAATACTTCGCAAATAATTCCCACACAATTAGATATCGCTAAAAACTAATAGAGCAAGATAAACAAGAGGATAAAGCTAAATTAAATAATTTCTGGTTGTTATGGGAGATTATATACAGATTCAAGCAGATGCGGAACAGCAATTTTCAAAAAGCAGACAAAACAGCTGGGAGTAGCCTAAAAAGATGAACAGGAACAATCCAATAACCGGAAAACACCTAGCCAAAAAATAATAATTTAAAACAGGCTTGAAAAAATTTTGATTGACTAGTTGAAAAAAATGGGATTAATTAGCTTGCCTCCAATTTATTTCGGAAGTTTATTTGAACGCCTCGGACCTAGCATAATTTTTATGCACTCACACATGTTGCCCCTACTTAAAACTTAATCCAAAAAACTTAGAATGCTCAGAAGCTCGCCAAACTTAGCAACTTGAAAAATCTCCAGAAATCACACTAAACTAATGCTAAGTAAATGTTTTTTCAATTTGAGATCCGCGTGTTTATTTGTTTAATACTGAGGCATAACTTAGCTCAGCAACATTTACAAACCAAATTGTAAAGAAAACTAAAAATCAAAATGAGCAACTATTCGTTGTCATACACTCTATTGGAAAATTTTTCAAAAATTGTAACGTAGAAAAACATTTTTGCAAATAAAAAATTTTTTTTTTAAAATTCTATGAAATCATCCGATCCTGAGAAATTATGCTCTGCGCATTTCAAAAAAAAAATTGCAGAAGAGAGGGCTAGTAGCTTGAAGTATATACGCGAACCATCCGTAGACAATAACAAGAACTTTATATAAGATTATAAAAAACGATGTTCAAAATTTGTTCAGAAACAATAACGGCCAGCCAAAAACACTTTGATGAGTTTTACACTTCTGTTTGATTATCACTACACTTTGATTTTTGATTATCACTACACCTGCAACCAATTTTTGAAATCAAAACTTAAAATTGATTTTGCAAAATTCGAAATATCAAACAATACCGTCAAACATAATTTCGACAGGCATTTTTCGACAAGACAAAGTGAGACCTGAGCTGGAAAATTCAACGCCCACACCGTTTAGTGCCTTTCTTTTAGAATTAGAACTCAGACATGTATCTCATATTGGAGTCAATGTCCTTTCCAAATCAAAGTTTGATCCATATCATTCGGTTGATTGTTACAATTGACAGGCGTAATTATAAAAAGTTATTCCAAAAAAATAAAACACTTTGCGTATTCTAACTTGCTGCGTTCCTTCGAGACGATCCAATTAAATCCGCTATTGGAAAAATAAGACAAGTAGACATTCTTTGATCTAGCTAAATATGCAGCTTGCGTTGATACTGAAGCTTCCTTATTTATTTATTATCAATATTGACGCCAAGGGGCGCAGAAATTTCTTCGATGATAATGATTGAAAAGATAAACAAAGCTGACTGTGTCCTCGTCATCTTGTGGAAAAACAATTTAAACTGTCAGGGAAAATCCGATGACTTTGTGTATTCCTTCAGACAGCTGAATAACAGAATGGATCGATTGATCGACCTGAAAATATGCGTTTTTTACCGCGATTGGATCACAATGCTGAGTTTAACGGCAATAGGTAGCAAATTGAAGATCCGGTTAAAAGCATAAACAACTCCGAGAAGGGTTCCCATTCAACTACATATAAACGTTGATAAAAGTTAATCATACAGATGAGTTCAAATTAGAAGATAAGGCTCATTTAAATGACTTCTGATTGTTATGAGAGACTAAATACAGATTTAGGCAGATACGAAACAGCATATGCAAAAAGAAGACAAAACAGTGTAGCTCATAAAAGGTAAACCGGAACAATTCAATGGAATGCAGAGTACGCCTAGCCAGAAAAATAACTTAAAAGAAAACAAGATATGAATTTAGTTTGATTGAGACTGTTTGAAAAATTGAGAATAATTAGCTTGCCTCAAAAACTATTAGAAGGGCTGGGAGCTAGCATTTATTTTTTTAATTAAGACAACTTGCCCCTGAATTTAATTAAGAAAACGCACACCAGCTTGCCCACTTTGGCAATTTGGAAAATCTACATTAAATAAAAAATGTAGAGTTATTTTTAATTTCAATTTGATATCAGCGCGTTCATATGTTTAACACATAGGCAAAGTTGTGCTTCGCACCATTTGCAAACCAAAATGAATGACTACCGAAAAAAGACTAGATAGGTTGATTTCTTCAATTTAAACTGAAAACTAAATTTCAAAATGAACAGTTATTCATTGCCATTCACTACATTGGATAATTTTTCACATTGTAACGTAAAAGCAATATATTTTGGCCCGAACAAAAAAAACTGTTTTTTTTTTCTAAAAAAACTATAAGCTGAGAAACTGCGATGATCATACTCAAAAAAATCGCAGAGGAGATGGTCAGTAACTTGAAGTATATGCGCAAACCAACAGTAGACAACAAAGAACTTGGTATCGAAATAAAAAAGTTGATATCTAAAATTATGGAAATATTGGTTCAAAACCAATCAGGGCCAGCCGAAAATACTTTGATGATTCTTGCGCACACTTTTAAAAATCAAAATTTATAACTGATTTCGCAAAATTCGATATATCAAAAAAACCATCGTCTAAAACAACTTCGACAGGAAATTTTCGACATGGCAAAGTGAATCCTGAGCTGGAAAATTTAGTGACTGGCCGTATAGCACTGGTCTTCTTATTTCGAGTTAGAACCCAGGCAATATTCAGATTGGATTTGAGTTTTGGACGATCCACGTGGTCCAATTGGTATTTATATGTATTATGACCTTTGCAAATTCATAATTAGGTTCAGGATTCAATCAAAGTTTCCTATTAAACTGAATTAAATTGAACAAAAAGTTCTAATTATTTTACTCCTGGTGGTTATAATCCGCGCAAATTCAAAACATGCTGACATGCTAAATTGGGTTTCAAAAAATTGTCTTGATGTAGCTTCTAGAAATCGATGAGTCCACGCTAAGTTGACTTTCCTTTGAAAAACCTTTCAATGTTTTCCTTTCAACGTTGCCTTCAAAAAAGGTTCTTTTCGTTAAGCTAAGGTTCCTTCAAAGGCTCTGGTGGTTTCTTCGCTGATAGATCGGATGCTGTTGTTGTCGTATTAGTTGACGTGGAATGTGGAGTTGCTCCTGCTGTTACGTAATTGTGATTCAATTCCGAGCTTGAACTAGACTTGTCATCTTCAGATACTTTTTTTTCTTTAATCTGAGAACCCTCTCCTGTATTTGAGTAATCCCCACTGCTCGAAGAATCTCTCTTTAAACTATCGACACGTTGTGCAATACTAACCTGGCTAGAAGTTAAATCTTTCACTTCGTTACTTAATATTCCGATAGTCGAGGAAATGTTTTTGAATTTTCTTGAGATATCTGAGACATTGTTGGAAAGTAGAATTTGCAGCTGCCTGATAATCAAATCAGTTTTATTTAGTCTTCCTGTCAAGTTCAACTGAAGGTTGTTCACCAATTTCTGGGTGCCAGCAATCGAAGATTCCTGCTGTAGTTTCCACTCTGAAATTGACTCTTCGTTCTGGCTTGACTCCAAATTTGTAATTTTAGTTTCAATTGAGTTTATATTCGATGCCAAACTGGCTTTGAACTCATCAAACTTATCTTGAATTGAGGAAACTTCAGACAAGCCATCCAATTTCTCTCTCAGAGTTGGTAACTCTGTTTTCACTTCTGACATTGATTTTGACATAAAGTTTGACTTCTCAGATAGGTTGCCAATTTGGTCCTTTATAGGCTGCATAGCTATGGTAAGTTGGGACAAAGCGTCCAAGTTGGTATTGACATCGCTTTCTAACTTCAGGAGTCTATTTGCGATGTCGTCGTATTTGTGCTGCATTGACAGAAGACTCCAGAACAAGTAGATGCACAGCAGAAATGAGGCTGAGAAAATAAAAACTGAGCATAAAAATGACCCAGAGCAAGCACTGTTCGCATTGTTCTGTTTTGTCCCAACTACGGTTCCGTTTCTCCTCGACCTCTGAGTGTTCGATGTTTGTATTTCTTCTTCTTCCTCTTCAGTCGAGCTTTGCGAGTTTACAATTAATAGAGACGACGAATCTTTACTGAAAGGACTTCCGTTGGCCGATCCATTGCGACCTAGTTTCATCAACGCGTCTAGTTCTCGACGCTTCTTCATGCGTTTGGCCTGAGATTGGAGGGTTCCGGGCGACTGTGCGTGATTCATAGAGCTGTTTGAAGTACCCCTGCCGATGACTGCATCGGAGAATCCGTTGCTGTTCAGCTTCCGCTTCAATGGATCCAGCTTCCTAGGGTTCCCGTTAGGAAATCTTTGTTACAGACACGAATATTGAACAGCTCTACATCGAACCCGTTCTAGTTCAAATAGTGATCAAGGTCGATTTCACGTTGACATTGAAAGCATATCAAACCAGTCCTGGTGTACAAAAGACTTATCTGAAGCGAATTCAATGTATGAGCAATTTAAAACCAACATTCGTCAGTGAAGTTAGTCTGAGTCAATAATCGATCTATGTAGGTAACAAATCAACTTTTGGCGACTTCGAGATTCAAAAATCTACGTACAAAATTGAGAAAACAAAATATCTGAATGCAATATACAACTTTACAATTTACATCATCATGATATCAAATCAATTTGACTAAGAACAACCGTACGTTACAGCAGTGACACGCCGGCTATATGAAGAAAAACGCTAAATTGAACTTAAAATGCATCGCGATTAATTTAATTAAAGTAGCCGCAAAAACGCGCCAGAAATGACCGTTTTTTTTCGGTCGTTGCAAATGATCTGTTGCGTTCGGTCACAACTGTTTCAAATTTATGACTCACTATGATCCGGCCTTTCGAAATTAAAAACTTAGCCAACTTACAATGAATGCAAGGAAACAGAAAAAAAGCAAACAAACCTTCGAAGTTCAAAATAAAAATATATATGGGCACGGTTTAAAAGCTCTTTTAATATCTCAAGAACAATTTATTATTGAGACTTTTTTTTGATAAAATTAGAAGTCCGTCACCTTTTCCGTTGCAGCTGCCTGATAATCAAATCAGTTTTATTTCACCAAGGTTGTTCACCAATTTCTGGGTGCCAGCAATTGCCGCTTTGCTGTTCGATAGTGGAGTTTGGCTTCGTTTTAACAATGGAAATGAACTGAACTTGAAAGCCAAAATTCAAACCACGAAAATCCAAATTTGAGAAAAATCAAACTTAAGATTTTCCCGAAAAAAAAATCATAATAAACAATCATCACGCCTTATATAAGAATCTTCAATACGTTTATCGACATCGACTCTTAATAAGGAATAATTAGGTGAAGCGAGAACATCTGCGCATTTCAGTAAAAAATACAAAGAGGTATGAACAAGATAATTTTTGGTTTAAAAGTCTTCATATTGTTGGGGAAAAGAAACACTAGCTCCCGGTAGGGACGGAGGACACCAAAAACGCACTTTTTGTGAAAACCCATAAATTGGATGTGGCGCGACATATTTGTTGGACTAAAACGCGCCTCTATGTTACACTGGGAGACCCAAAAGATTCACAACGATTCAGCAAGCATCTACGATAAAGCAATAAAATGGGTGACTTGTTGTCAAAATCGAACGCGAAATTATCTATGAACTTTTTTCTCCTAGTGGTTTTATTTTGCAGCACAGAAAAGAAAATTAATTTCGCGGACAAGCGAGAAAACGGCAAAAGAAGCGAGGAAAGAAAACCCAAAAAAAGAGAAAAAATAATGAAAACTTGCCATCTGCCGGAATTGAACCACCGATCTGGAGACTACGAGTCTAAATGAGAACTTTTTAATGCAAGTTGGGTAATTAAAAATTTAGTCCGTAATACAACACTACACTCGGTCTAGCTGGCGTGTGTAAAAAATATATCTGACACCGCCTCATCGACAACCTCGTTCAGAGCCAACAGTTCAAAGACCCAAGTAGCTTACAACTTAGTTACACTACTGCTGTGCACAATCACCGGGAGCACCGCCGGCTGCGTCACCAGCCGCTGGAAGACTCTTTAGCTTTGCATACACTTTCTTTTCATGCTCTAAGACTTCTGCTGGCTTCCGATAATGCACCACTAAGGTGTTATTACTATGTGCAAATCTGAGGTTACTAGGGTTCAACTTCAGAGTGAGTCTGTCCATTTCGGGCACTGAAAGTTTCTTGAAGTACTTCTTGTTGCTAGTTCTCACTATTATTTTGTTCTCTTCTGTATTAACTGTCACATCGTAGATATCTAGGGGGTAAGTCAGGTTGCGGATTCTCCATTCGAAATTGTCTGAACAGCAGAAAATCGATGGATTAGATGAAAAATTCTACAAGGCGTGTAGGGAAAGATCAGATTTAGGTTTCGTTATACATTAAATCAAACCTAGTTCAGCTAGAATTGCAAAAATACTACCAAAATCTGATCACATTTTAAACTGCAACAATTCCATTGAAAATATCGATAACAGATTCAAAACAAAGCAAAAATAACTTTGAAGAACTTCACTTGACCACATTTCTTCATTAGGCTTCAAAAATTGATTGTTCATATAAACACGTTCTTTTCTGTCAACAGCATGATCGTATTTTTTGCGGATTATGAAGAATTTTTGCATCTATTGAGCAATTGAATCAGAAAGTAAATTTTCTTGAAACCAACGCACCCCCCCCCCCCCGTTTTCACTAACTTTATCTACTAACCCTTTGTGTTTCTGGCCACACAGATAGGATTCGAGTTACTCTCGTAAAGGTCTAGACTGTTTCCACCCGGCAGATCGGCCGAAGCGACTGACTTAAGAGCGTCCTCGCCTATTTCGTAATCCCACACTCTCGGAGCACCTCCAAGAGTACTTTTCCTCCTCCATTTGCGAAGCAGCAGCAGACCATTTCTAAATCCGACATCATCTAACAAATTAAGACTCCAAATGGTTCATGTCTATTTTGACTCGCCAGAGCAGACCAAAAACTCATCGTCAAAGTCTTCCAAATCTTAATGATTTTCAGCTTCGTTCGGTTGATAATTTTAACGAACACATCTAAATTAATATTTACTCTATTTGATCGATTAACAAATGTGAACGAGTGAGTAAGAGACTTAAATGTTAACTCGAATTCTCTGATTTCTTAATTTAGGCGCGATCAGAACAAACCACAACTTGCACACTACCTGGCATCGTATTCTTCTGCCATTTCTGTGCTGGCATCGATCTGAAAGTGTGCTTTGAGTTTGTTGTCTTGATTCAGACATGTAATCTTGGCATTCATCAGCTGCTCCTGCCACGCGCCTGACGCCATTTTAACACTGAAAAGATCACCTGATATTCCCAGTGAGCTATTCTGCTTTGAAATTCCCAGTGAACTTGACATTCTGCTTTGAAATTGATACCACAGCCAAATCAAACACCGCTGAAAATGAGATGCCAGGCTAATCAGTATGAGCGAAATTGAGACGATTTAACTAAGTTCTAATTGAGAAGACAAGACGCAAACAATTACATTTCCATCATAAAAATTCTGTCTTAACTGTCTTGTCACTAATAGCTTTATTGTCGGGATTTCAAATTGACTGTATTGACCGATTTCTTTTTAACCGAGCTGTCTATACGCCATTTGAATACGCATTGGGCTAACCTGATGGTATAAGTCAAACCTTTTGATAACTTCCTTGTTTCAAGCTCTGGTTCAAATTATAGGAAATAAAGACTTGCAATACTTAAATTTCAATCCATAACTGTTCAATCAAACAATACTTTAAATTTAACTAATCAATCTTTGAATCTTGTTAACTACCCCCCCCCCCACCCCCCTGGTAACGAATCACCGTCCCCTATAAAGAAAAAATTAAATAGTTCCGTCTATACAACATTTCAATCTTGTAATGAATTGGTCTCCTTTTGCAAAAGGGGGGGTAGTTAGCAAGATCCCAAACTTTTGAAAAATCTAACACAACAATTTATTTATACTTCAAAATTAAATCACTCAAGGGACTTAATATTAAGATTTGGCAGGCCATAGACAACTGGCGCATGGCCAGTCGCTACTGGAAACTTCACAACATTCTTCAAACTTTTCAAGGTCAACGACAAAGTCGTTTTCTTCATTTCAATTTCAATTTCAGTTTTAGCTTTGTTCTCATCTCCCTCTTGTAAATTGAACACGCGTTTTAACAACCCCACCGTGAACAAATCTATTTCTCTATCAGTTACATGCCATAGATTGGCCACTATAGCCGGGGCTCCAGTGAGAAGAAAATCACACGGAATGTTATCTGGATCAACATTATCACTCAAAATCCGCAGAGATCCGCTCGAACAGCCAATTAGAAAAGCCACGCAGTTTAACTTTGGCATCTTTCCTCGCATTACCGAGGAGGGGTAGAACTTCGAGCCCGCTCCATGTCCACAATACAGGAAGAGATCACATGATTGGAGGTCATTTTGCACGTATTCTACACTTGGTTCTGATCCTATCACGCCAGTAATTTCAGCCTTGCTCTCTGTTTTAAGGTCGCGCAGAAAAGTCTCAAAGGTCAATTGGGTTTTTAAAAGGTCTCCGCTTGGGTTAACCAGATATTTCATGCTAGATACTTGATAATTATATCTTCTGTAATTACTATAATCTTCAAATTTCTGTGAAATTGTCTTATAATGATGAAGGAAGAAATCTAAACAAGGATAACGTCCGATTGATTTACTCAATAGGCAGTCCAAGTTCTCCCATGGCACGGTACTGAATTCCGAATCCACAATTAAAATCACACTTTCGATGTTTTTGAATTTCCTGTCAAATGCTGATTCCAGAGGCATCAGCTCTAAATTCAGACTCAACACCAAATGTCTCATTTTGTCTTCCGCTTCAAATCTCTGGGTCCAGTACACTTTGCGACTGATTGATGCGTCAATTTTCATACTTTCCTCCAACGCTACTGCGAATTTTCGAGTAAGAGCTTCCAAATTATCGAACTTCATTGAAAACTGCGGCTCATTTTTGGACATAACGCTAATGCATGAAAAGAGTTTCTGCTTTGTCACATGCATAATTGCCCAACTTTCAGGAATGTATCGCCAGATTTCAAACTGTTTAGGAAATGCTAAACTTTCCACTGCATTTTTTTGGCTCAGAAAAATCTGAAGACGTTCCAGTTGCCCAGGTGACGTTTCAGTGTGGCAAAATAGACATACATTGAAAAAAGTTGGATTTATCGCTCGCTCTGTTAACATCTGGTAGTCATTCTTATTTTTACCAGAAAACTTGATATTTCTCGTATCTCGCAACAATTTGAAGTCTCTGCTCTTGCTGATAATTTTGTACAAGCTGGCATTCCACTCTTCAAAAGGTTGACAAATCTCCATTCGACATGAACGAAGCCGTGAGCAGTAATTTGAATTGAAATCAATAACTCCATTAAAGCAATTTTTATCAGAAACTTTTTGAATTCCTGAAAACGCAGGAACTTTTTTGACATCGTCAACTTCGCTTAAAGAAGGTTCAACCAAATCAAGCATCAAATTCCGACACAATTTCGATCGCGTTCGCTTGGAAACATTTTTCGTTGTTCTGTTTTCTTTCGCTTGCTTTGTTCGAGTTTGACCTGACTGATTTTTCCTAGAGACTGTAGATGCTGGGCGATTTGATAACGAAAGACTTTCCAAGGCCTTGACGGTTTCGTCTTCCATGCTAAAGTATGAACAGTTAATTAAACCCTTTAGGAGCTTTGTATGTCACTTGGTATTACGAAAAATCTTTTTTTTTTTTGAAAATTTACGCGATTCGATATGTTTTTTTGCGCGATTCGATATGACATCTCCCTCCCCCACGGTTGGTCTTGCACTGAGCTGGCCAGGGCAACCTTAACAGATGTATTGACGTCTTTCACTATTTAAAGATTATGTTCATATTACTACAATGCAGTTATAATTTTGAGAGCAACAAAAATTATATTATAATTTCCGCCGACAAAAAACGACCAACTTTTGGAGTTAAAATGCAAACTGCGGGATTCTGATAAGCTGAAGATTGTTCTTCAATTAAATAAATAGGTGAAGTCCTTAGAAGGACCAAATGCCCGAAAATTATGCAAGCCAGTCAGAATTCAGTAATCAAAAGAGATGGATGCGAAGTCAGTCAGTTTTGGACACTTTAAAGGACGATGATTAGCAGAAAATTTTCGTTAATACGGTGCTTGTCATGAGAATAGTTCACAAATTGATTGAGGGGGAAGATTTTTAGATGGGTCCAAAAATTTAAAAATCGAAAGTATCAACCTTGAATTCAGATATCGTATTTTATCGACCAGTCAATAAACTTCGACTTTTCGGTGACCGTGGTCCAGTGATCTTACCTGAGAGGGTCCTCTTCACTGTTCTCCATTTTTTTCAGACACTCCATTATCGCCTCCGCTGCTGTTTTAGTACTTGCATGGCTAAACATGGTGTACTTTTCAATACTCGGCACTTTTCCGTAGCAATGATAAGTCCCCACAAATGAACTTATCTTTTCTTCATCAATACCAATTTCTCCTGTTTGCACATTTCCAGGCTCAAAAAACAAGGCTTCAATCGCAGAGCAATGATGATGTATTTTTTCATTGTAGAGTAGTGTCAAGTTTCCTTGATAGCAGTCAAACTTATTCTTTTCAGATTGGCTCCAAGGCAAGGCTTTCAACAGTGAAACCACTACAGTGATGTTATCAAACATTGGCAAGTTACAACAACTCGAACATAAGCAGCTTTTCTCGTGGTTTACTCGTTCAACCAACTTCATTACTTTGATTTCGGGAAGTCCTTCACTCAAAGTGGTTTGGGGTTTGAGGAGTTTGCAGTCACCGAGTTCAGTTTTAACATAGACGTCTGAAGCTTCGAAACTCACTTGGTCTTCCTGTTTCAAGTAAATGTTCGAGCACTTAACAAGCATTTCGTAGCTTTTGTCAAAAATGCTCACGTACGCGTACGAGTAAAAAGATTCCAGAAACGCCTTAGCTACAAACATATCTCGTATTGGTTTACTCTGACTCGCCGAAACAAAATTCTCACCCGTCACAAAATTATCGTACGATTTGCAAACATCAATCAAGCCGACCGATTTTATCATGTGACTCAGTTGACTATAACTCTGAAACGCAACTCCAGGTACCATTAACCCGCATATCGGTTGCCTGGCTTTGACGTTGAAAAACAAGGGCATGACTGTCCTTTCTGTAGAGTTGGGGTCAAAGTTACACGATCTACGAGTCAAACTCTTCCAGTATTTAAACACTTCTGTCTTCCATTTCGCAAAGAACATATATTCTGGCTTCCCACTGGCATCCGACTCTAGTACACTCGCATCAATAGACGAGAACTCCGTTTCGGATAGAAGGTCTACCAGAAAGTCAACAGCTAGAGAAGATTTGAAGAAAATCCAAGGTTGCGTTTGATTCAAATTAATCATTGCTATCACTTTCTCAATTACTTCTAGGACATTTTTCTGTTTTGTGAAAGCTTCGACCTTCAGATCAACAAAGAGTGACACAAAATCATCAAAGGGCATTTCGACGCCCGAATGTTGAAAATGTTTCAAGTTAATTGAAAACTTCAGACATAGCGAGATACTTCCACAATTCAAAGCCGAACAAAATCCGAAAAAGGTCGAAAACGCCACAAGCTTAGAGACGTCTTCAAGCTCATCGTCAGATTTCAGCAATGCATTTTTTTTACTGCAAAGTTCCTTAGCTTTCGAAGAAATTGTGGCCCAGAAATAAAGAGCATGCAACTTAAGACCCCAGAACTCAAATATACAGGCTACATTAACACACAACACCAACACTGGTACAGAAAGTAGGTTAAAAAGACAGTGCAATTTCTTCTTAGATCTGAAAACTTCGAGAATGTTTTCGAGGACATCACCAGGAATTACTTCCTCTGCTAGATTCTCTACCTTTGTACCCTGATTGGTACCATCTAGAAAATGAGCAACTATTTGCATTAGTGAAAGCACCCACTTGGAATTCTCACAGCTAATCTTTCGACTGAATTTTCCGACCATTTCTCGGCACCATTCGCTTATGGAATCCGAACTCCCGATATCGTAATTGTTTAAACGTTGGTTCAGCATGAAGGCAACTAATTCGACAGCTTCAAAAGAGGACAACACTTCCATTTTCAGCAAGTTTTTGACCTCATCCACGACTCTGTATCCTTCGACAGCACTGAATGATCCAACAATTGACCAATTAAAAATTTGAACAACAAATTTTTTTAACCACTTCTTCGAGCTGCAATTTAAAATTGTCTGGTTCATATCTTTACGGATAATCGGGATGTCAAAATCTGCCACACGTTGTAATACGCCCCAGCATTTAGAGTACGCAGCACATAACTCTTCGTCGAAACAATTTTCTGGCGTTTTTTCTAGAACTAAAGATATAATTTGCATACGATAAAATTCTCCAATTCCATCGTCTAAAATTTTGAATTGACTGATTGTTTTCAGCTGCGAGGAAATATTCAAAGCAATTTCTTGGCATTTTTTCTTATTTGGGGTTACTGATTTATCAAGGAGGTCCAGCCTGAAATGAGCAATCTGCGTGAATAAAGTCTTGGACTTATCATCAATTGGCTTCTTTGCCTGACAAAATTCAACTAGGCTTCTCCATATAGCTTGACCTAAACCAGACAAGTTCTTACATAATTGAGACTCCACGGAATCTTTTTCAGAGTGAAGCTCGACTAAAAGGTCCTTCAACGTTTCCAGCTGCCCATTCAAGAACTTAATCGATTTGTCGCCGAATTGGATTTGTTCAAAAACCACCTCTAAATCATTCATGAGACGAGCCACCAATTTATTGTACAAACTAATACACGCGTTTTTGAAATAAGACTCGTACGTTCCGAGTTTATCCCGCAGTTTTATTACCAATTGGCAAAACACAATCGAATACTCTATATTGCGTATAAAGTGACCGCCGTGACCTTCTTCTGAGCCGCTTAATGAGAAGCCTACAGCACGGTTGAAATAGTTCATGATTGCAACAAGTTTCAAAACCGAATCCATTTCCATATACTGTTTATCATTAACAAAATCGCGAATGTTCCGAGCAATCAAAGCTGGCAAAAATAATGGACAAAATCGACCTAGAGACAACTGTTTTACATTGAAACGCATTTCACGGCCCATATCTTGAGAGTCAATTCTCGACACTAAAGAACAAAGCACCGCATACATGACTCGCACGTTGCTTTCTCGTTTGTCATTGAGGAAACTTTTCTGAGAGCTGACCTCAAAGCAGAAACTGACAAAATCGGAGTATGTTTTATGAACAACGTCTTCATTTGGAGACAGATTGTCGATTTTCTCAAACAACTGAGACCAGACAATTACAAACTTTAAAGTCGCCAATTTATCAAAAAGAACCATTAATTTGGCCAGCAAGAACATCAAATTCAGTTTGGCTTCTGTCGAAATAACTCCGTCAATCAAATTATATTTCGACAACTCAAAGAGTAATTTTTCTCCGCAGTAGTTGCACAATTTGTTAAGAGCCATGTCGTCTAAATTGTCAATGATCAAAGCTAACTTAGAAAAAAAATCGTCGAATAAGCGCAGTACGTCCGAACAGTATTCTCTATCTGCAGTCAGGCTCTCGTTCGCGTGATTAGAAAAACAAGATGTAATTTTCTTTGCAATTGATATCACTGATTCGTCGCAAGAGCTTTGCGAAGCTCCAGCTCGTTTCTTGTTTGCGTTCATTTCTAATCTGAAAAAAAATCTAGGTTCTTATGACAACTATCAACTTCTCAGCACTTCAGCAGGAAAAAAAACTCAGCTGGAAAAATGAATTCAGGAAAAAAAGTTAGTTTTTCTATTGAGTTTTTTCTTAATTTGAGTTGTATCTTGAAATTCTTTTATTAGTTACGAGAAAACTGGATCAAAACGTAATTTCTTCAACTTAATTTGCTAAAATCTGCTTTTGAAAACAAAACTCTCAAGCTTAATTTTGCCCCATTTTCGGCTTCATTCTCGAAAAACATATTTTGCCATTCTTTTATAAAAAAAAATTGAAATGCAATCTTCGAGTCATAGATATAATAACGAGCTCGAACAAATCACATGATCCGTAGAAAAATACAGGATCAAAACGTTACATTTTAGCTCTGCTGGGAAATTTTAAAATAGACATCCACTTATGTATCTAAAAGAATTGAAGTTTTTTTTGCGCCATTTTAACCTTTATAATAGAAGGGTGTCCCACTCTTTAACCCCACGGTATTTTACCCCCTATATTTACACCCCCTATATCATACTCCCGTAACATGATAACCCCCACAACAATTTAACCCCCTTTTAATGGCAATAATTTGTTTCAAATCAAGTCCTTTTTATAAGCACAGGAGTAGTCCAATTAAGTTTACTAATTGAGGCCTGAAAAGCTAGTCCTAATTCACTTGATGCCTCTAGCATCTCAAAACTAATTGCATTTCGATTAGTTAGAGAAATAATCCCTCACTCACGCGTTGAAAACAGATATCCTACATGATGCTAATTGAAGGCAACAAAAGAACGTTTGTAAGTTTTACAAAAAATCATACTGCCTTTAAACATTGTTACACCACTCTATCAGATCAGATATAATGTTTGAAGCGTCATTTCATTTCACTTTATCTTCGAAAAGACAAACAAATGCTAGTGGTATCAGGCCACTAGTATAACCTTAAACGCAAAAACAAGACAACAACAAATTGGAACTGCTCGAAGTACCAAATCCATAAATGCCGAGCAACAGCAATTACGGATGGAGAATACTTTATTGAAACGAGGGGTCAACATAATCACGATATTTCCACGGGCAAACCTGATGCTCGACTAGTTTTGGAAAACATCAAGGATCTAAGCGATAGTAAAAACCCAACCGTCGCAGTCGCAAGTAAGTTTCACTTTGATTCTAACAATTGGTATTAAAAAGGCGTTAAATTGTAGTGGGGTTATCTAATTTCGGGGTTATATGAGAGGGGGTTAAGAAAAAAGGGGTTACAAAACACGGGGTGATAAGCTTGGGAACCATAATAGAAGAACGTAACTTGCCAACCATTTAGCAAATACCTTTGAACTCAAAGAAAACAAAAGTAAAATCACTAAAACACACATTTGAGCAAGTTTTAGAAAATATGGTAGTTTTTAAGCAAATGTAGAAAAAAAGCGGAAGCGTATATTTTCATTTTTTTTAAATGATGTAGTCTGCACAAAAAAAATTATTAGAATAAGTCGCGCATTCGAGTGTAAAACAATTCTAAAATAAACTCAAAAAACATTGCTAAATGGACTTTTTAATTTAGATTTTAGAAAAGGTGACAAAAATGGAAGACAACTTTTGGGTTGAAATATTTGCGGTTAAATTTTTGCCCTTATTAAAAAAAAACATAGCCAACAGGCAGTTGGATAAGAGTCATGAACGCAAGGAAACAAAAAAAATAATTTGATTTTTTGAAAAAAATCAGTTTTCGAATTTCCAAGTTAATAAATACGGACTTAAAGCTCTTTGAAATTCTAGAACAATTTGAGAAAACTGGATCAAAAAGTACTTTTTTTTTCATTCCGCTGGTAAATCTGAAAATTTAATTCCACAAGCGAAGTTGCGCCAAAAAAATATTGACACAAAGCGAAAAAAAAATATTGACAGAAGCAAAGCTGCGCTAAAAATCGGAAAAAGGAAAAATATAAAACGCAGGAAACTACCGTGTAAGAAAATCAGTTTCAAATAGTAAAATCTCGGAGTCGACAGAATTTGAGATCGCACGTCCTCCCAGGAGCCACTTGCTTTTACGCTTACCTTTTACTTTCACGCATACTTACACGGTGTCTTTTACTTTCACGCTTTCTTTATTCATAGATGACAGGCATGCGCTTTGGCCAAAATAAGCTTTGTTTTATACATAAATGAATTTAATGACTTCAAAAAAGTTGACAGATCTTAAATCACTACGCTTGCAAATTCTCATTGAGATAAAAATTGAGAAATCATTGATAAAAACGTGTTTTTTTCTTTGGCTCAAGAAATTTCCTGCTTCAAGCTTCATTTACAAGGAGTCTTATAATTCTCATCAAGTTTTAAATAGCAAGCTAAGCCAAACAAGCAAAGTTTGGCTGCCGTCATTTTGAATAAAAAGAAAAATACAATTGAACTATGACTTGGCTCATATTTTGTATGTACATCAAACTTTATCGCACAATATCAAAAAGATTCCCTTCAGTCGGCTTCAGGGTCCAAATTAATCTGGTCTCCAAACTTTGAGTACAATTCACCCTTCAATGTTTTCATTTCTGCCTCAAGTTCGCTTTTTTCTTCTAGTCTTCCTTTTTTCTTCTCTTCTAATTCTATCTTTTCCACTTCCAACCGACTGTTTGCATCTGCGAAAGTGAAGTTAAAGAAAACATCTCCAACTCTGTAAGGTATTACATCACCTTCTTCGCTAGTTAGTTCCAACTCTTCGATTGAACTTGCTGCTTCTTGGTAGTTTTCTAGCTCTCTGTCTTTATCGGCTACGTCGCTGCATATATCCACATGTTTTGTGTTCAATCTGGCAAATCTGTTGATTTTGTCCTGGTCTTCTTTCGTCACTGTCGAGGACTTCGAAGGCGCGGGTCTTTTCGCAGCTGACATTTTAATCACGGTCTGAAAAAAAATCTAGTCAAAATAGTACGGTCGGAAACACTGAAAACTAGAATTGAGAAAACAGGCCTGGTTGAGTAGAAAAAATGCTGTGACGAACAACGCGTCAAAAATTGCCTGAAAGATAAAGGAAGAACTTGATGCTCATAATAATAACGACTGTGAAAAAAAAAATTCGGCAGATTTTCCCTAATTTTTTAACTCAGTTTGAGCACCGCATTTCTGTCGCAACTTTAGATGATCTTTCAATCTACTAACAGCAGTTGTGAATATTTTTGATTTTCTGATTTTATCAAATAAGCAATAACAAACAACAAGATACAATTTAAAACCAAACTTAGTCTCTGTAATTTTGAATAAATTTATCAGCACTTAACTTGCGATTCAATTGCAATCTCATTTGCAAACGCTCTCTTCTAGTTCTGATATTCTGACATTGTCTTGATCTCATAGATTCTCTAATGACATTGACCTTCATGGCCCAACTGAATACCCAAAAGAAAGGACTCATCGTTTGCGCAACTTGATCCTCGGTGACTCTGTGCGATCAGAATTGCGAGACGAACTTGATGACAAGGAATCATGTGACCTTTTGGAACCCGAAGAACTTCCCACTACTTGTTCCACAACAAAAGCATCTTCCTTTGATCTCACAGAGCCCGACCGACTTCTAGTAGCTCCGTTTTTATCTGGTTCTTGCACATCAACCGTCTCTGATTTGCTTGATTTTGATGTTTCCTTCTTTAGCGAAGACACTTTTTCGTAAAGCAATTGAGTAAATTCGGAAGTTTCAGGCAACGAGAAATCGACAACATCACGTGGCTTGAAAGGCAAGTTATCCGCTGAAAGAACACTAAAATTATTGATCCAAGACTCAATTCCTGCTTCGAGTTCATTTTAGAGTGTTTGTACAGCTTTGGTCTCAAATTAGAGTATCCTTTCTTCGACAATAAAAAAATCACTTTAGCTTTGACGAATAAACGCATTTGAAGAATTTCATATATCTTAACTTACTGATATGCGCCTCGACTTTGTTCACGTCGTAGAGGAAGTGAATAAATTTCCACACTTCTTCAGGCGAGACCTCTTCGTCACAAATCTCCTTCATCCTCCTGCAGATGGCCAACACTCTCCAGTGACGCAAACAGCCGACCGGCTTCAAACCTATCAAACGAATTTAATGGGTCAGAACAAATTTTGAAACAAATACAAATCAGAATAGCCGGTTGCTTCGCAAGTAGCACAGAACGCTCCGATCACAGTTCTCTTTGAAAAAATACAAATCAGAATAGCCGGTTGCTTCGCAAGTAGCACAGAATGCTCCGATCACAGTTCTCTTTGAAAAAATACAAATCAGAATAGCCGGTTGCTTCGCATGTAGCACAGAATGCTCCGATCACAGTTCTCTTTGAAAAAATACAAATCAGAATAGCCGGTTGCTTCGCAAGTAGCACAGAATGCTCCGATCACAGTTCTCTTTGAAAAAATACAAATCAGAATAGCCGGTTGCTTCGCATGTAGCACAGAATGCTCCGATCACAGTTCTCTTTGAAAAAATACAAATCAGAATAGCCGGTTGCTTCGCAAGTAGCACAGAATGCTCCGATCACAGTTCTCTTTGAAAAAATACAAATCAGAATAGCCGGTTGCTTCGCATGTAGCACAGAATGCTCCGATCACAGTTCTCTTTGAAAAAATACAAATCAGAATAGCCGGTTGCTTCGCATGTAGCACAGAATGCTCCGATCACAGTTCTCTTTGAAAAAATACAAATCAGAATAGCCGGTTGCTTCGCATGTAGCACAGAATGCTCCGATCACAGTTCTCTTTGAAAAAATACAAATCAGAATAGCCGGTTGCTTCGCATGTAGCACAGAATGCTCCGATCACAGTTCTCTTTGAAAAAATACAAATCAGAATAGCCGGTTGCTTCGCATGTAGCACAGAATGCTCCGATCACAGTTCTTTTTGAAAAAATACAAATCAGAATAGCCGGTTGCTTCGCATGTAGCACAGAATGCTCCGATCACAGTTCTCTTTGAAAAAATACAAATCAGAATAGCCGGTTGCTTCGCATGTAGCACAGAATGCTCCGATCACAGTTCTCTTTGAAAAAATACAAATCAGAATAGCCGGTTGCTTCGCATGTAGCACAGAATGCTCCGATCACAGTTCTCTTTGTAATAAAGTGGAAAAAAATTTCAAACTGTAAAAGATAGCCGGTAGCATAGACTGTTCCGGCATAGAAATTATCTTTTTCTCAAGTTAGTGTCCTTTTGTGAGTGGTTTGAAGAGAGAACTACTCAAATGTGTAGACAGTTAGTGAATAAGGCTTAACCGATAGTTGTATTCAAAGTAACAAACAAAAAATGAAAAAAAAATACAAAAACAGTGTTCCAAAATTTCATCTATTGAAAAATCTTTTGAATATAATTTTACCTATAATTGAATCTAATTTTATCCATTTTGGCACAAAAATTTTCAAATTTTTCTACGAAACTTCCTGCAAAGAAAGCGCTAAAAGAAGCTTTTCAAACTAGTTTTCCTTTTGGTAAAATCAAGTTTTCTTAGCCTCTACGAGCAATTTTCATAAAAAGAAGGTTACTCGATCGCTTTAATCGCCAAAATTAGACAAAAACTCGAAAATTCGCAACCGGTTTTTCTAAAAACTCGGACAGCTTTCTGAACATATTTAATTTCGTTCGAATAACGGCCAGAAGGCCTTTAATGTGCTATTTGATTCAACCTATTCCGATGATCACTTGCGGTGCCTGATTTTTCCTGGAAAGAGAAAAAAAACTTAAAACAAACCCGAATACAAATGTCCTGACCAATTTCAATGGTCGGAAACAATAAGTGACGGAAAAATACCGTGAAAAAAGGATCGGGACAAATTTTTTTCCGTAGAACCAACGTTCTTTAGAGTAAATCAGATACCTCAAAAAGTAGCTTTTAAAGGGCCAAAAAAGAGAAAGCAAGAAAATATAAAGTATTGAGCTTTGAAAAAATAAACAGATCGATATCTTCTGGAATCTAACCTCAGTTATCGCAGATCCAATTTATCAAGTAAAGTAAAACGCCGTACACAACTGTGCCACTGACACTTACACACTAACCACTCAGCCACGGACGCTTAATTACTCACAAGCACTAGCCACAAATAAAGCTGAGAATAGATGCTATGAAATTTTCAATGCTACAGATCGTGATTATAGCAAGTGAACACTTTTAATGTGTACACTACGCTGCTCGCAAGTGTAAACAAAAGAAATTAATTGAACCTGAAAAAAGTCAAACCGCGAAAAATCAAATTTGAGTGTGCACAAGATTTGACTTTTTTCTAAAAAATGTCAAGATCTACATAAGTGTCTTCACTGCGTGCATTGACGACTTAATAATAAACTTTCGCACATACCTTAAGAGCTCGTACAAGGCAGGAATGGATGCGCCCTTTTTTAAGCCGATAAAACACTGGCTATCAATTTCACCAGACATATTTAATGTTGCACTCATTTACTGAAATAGAACACAGATGTTTCCAAGTTGCATTGAAAAGAAAGGAAAGATTATTAAGGATAAACGTTGCGCAAAGAAAAATAAAACATTTTCGAAGTCACATCTAAACATTTTCAGAATGAAATCAACGAAAACGACCGAAATCTCCATGATGATGCACATCGGATCCAACAAAACCTCGAGAACAGACCCCCTTAAAATATGTTATTAACATTTGACTCAGAGTCAAAACATGGCTCCAAAGAATCAACTTCTTAAGTGTCGCTTGAGTCAAGAGTGAGGAAGTGTAGTTCCTTCGGTAACACACAAAGAAGCCTTACTTTTAAACCGCTGTCTCGAAGCTGGAGAAACTTTCTGGAAAACCTTCATAGCAGCTCGCATCACGACCTAAGGGACTTTAAGAGGATTGAACCTTTTGACCTCGACAACATTTGATCTTTATTTGTCACACCAGATTTTGGTGGAAAAATACTCACTCGAAGCCATGTTCATTCTCACTTTCGGTGATCGGAACAAAAAGATTTTAATGGCTAGGCATGCTTGTAAGTAAAATTGCCAACGTAATTCCACTAAATTGTAAATTAAAACACCCACCTGTCATGCTCAGCATAAGGAACATCTGTTTTTTCACTGGCCAAGAGGCAATCATATTGATGGGTTGACTGACACAAGTGAGGTCGTCGGATGGATTGTTTTTAGTTACTGGACTCGGTGGCAAGATCGGAAACGAATAGCCACTGGATAGATATACAAATGTATCTTTTTCGGTCGAAGTTACCATTTTCCTCAACTATTTGACCCGTACAGTAACTGATGATACTATCATACTTTTCTCTGAAAAAATTTCCTTAATTCAAATTAGGCCCGCTCTGACTTCAACTTTCAAACTGCGGGTCCCATGAACTCTCAGGCGCCTCATATTTTGACATTCAAAAACAGCAAAAAAAAACGTGTTTCTAATTCGGCGACCGAAAAATTATCACTCAATATAATTTATTTCTGATAAATAAAGCTAACTATCAAAATTATAGATTGATTTTGTTCAAGGAAAGAGAAATTTATTTTTAGCTATGTCTTCTTTTCATTTGCTCATTTGCATTTCTCTGTACTAGACAGCTACTTATTATAGCCACGATGCCAGTTCCTCTTCCAGTCTCTCAGGTGGAATGAATGGCTTGTGGATATTTTGGATCATGATCTCTCCACAGAACAGACACTCGGAGGCTACCAGACTGTCCAACTCCTCCCTTTTCGCCTCCAGTTCAGCACCATTGAGCAGTGGGTCAACTGCGTAGCTTCTTCACAAAACACTAACATTGATAATCCAATTCACATGCCTTGTCACCCCCCCCCCCCTCCCACCCGTCGCCCGAATACTGGAATTAAAACTACGAGCCTCAATGCAAATATTAAATATTTTTGGTATGTCTCAAAACAGAGCCTTGTAAAATCATTTATTAATACAAAATTGATGCTTTCTTCTTGATTGGGTGGAAAAGAGCGGGAAAGATTTCATTTACCTAATATTGAGTGTCAGAAATCTTGAAAACGCAACTGATCACAGAGAAAAAAGTCTCAAAAGCAAGATTATTATTCGAAAAAGAAGACAGTTTCTGCCCAATTTTTTAAATTCATTATGACACATTATAATTTTATCGTCATTGAATATTTGAATTATTGAGTAATCCACGCATCAATTATAGCTTCTAATTAATCCCACTCACCCGGTGACTTTGGAGTCAGTCGGTTTCTTTTTCTGCAAGTCTACGTCATTCTTGATTTGCCGCTCCAACTTCTCAATATTTTGCCTCTCCAAACTAGTCACTTCTATCTTCACCTGGTCAAATTTACATCATTTATGAGCCATTCAAAAATCCTTTAACATGTACATTGGCAGATTTAGCTTACAGGCAATTGGACACAGAGACAAAGCGGAGTTTCGATCACTTGCGATAAATTAACATAGCCAATAGACAGTGGAAAAGCGTTGTGTAAAAGGAAACAAAAAGAGATTGACTCATTTTAGAACATTTAGAACTTTCGAATTTTGGAAAAACATATATCACGTTAAGCTCTTTGAACTTGGAGAATCTCTAATGATCGACTTTACGCGGTTTTGCGTTTACGGTTTACATGATCGATACTCTACAAGTTCCCGGGGACAAATAGTTAGTTCCCGATTATAGAAGAATTGCTCTCACAAGGGTTTAAAAATCTGCGACCATTCCCAAAAATTCTTAATCAGGTTCCACTAAAAATTCAAAATTCTAAAACCAACTGACAGGCCTCTCTCTATCAGATTTTCCAATTTTAGGTCAATCGGTTCTTCTGGCTTGAGACATTCGCTCGGTTAAAACTACTTGTTTACCTTCTGGAGTAGACAGTCGGAATGGAATGCGTGTTTGCAGGGGAAGGAGTAGAATGCTCTGAGGAGTAGTTGGTACCCACAGATGGCACACTTCTCGTCTGCCTTGATCACCATGCACTGACTCCTGTTCTCCTTGATCGAACACCTGATCTTCTCCGCACTCTCAGTCGCATTTTCCATTTGACCTGCAAAAATAACGCTAAAATAAGACTTTTCAGAAAAAGTCAAATCAACATGACATCGAAAAGACACTAAGTCGAAAAAACATCAAAAAAATTGAACGTGCCGAAAAAATTACATCTATCAAAATGAACACAGAGGCGAAGCTGAGCTTCGCACCACTTGCGATACAAATATGAATGTTATGAAAATCAAACGGAAAAAATTCAAAAAATCGTCTTTGTCGATAAACATTGCAACAAAAACCCAAAATATCCAGAACAAAATTGCGTGCACCATTAGAAACTCTATAAAGAGCTCCGGGAATTCTAAAAAGAAGCCAAGTTTTCAAAAAACTCCTTTGCGCGGAACTAAGCGGACAAAAATAAGCAGAGGCTAAAATCTAAATTAGCCAAAATTTTCTATTTGCAAGAAAAAAGTATCAACTGGAATCGAACTCGCGGGCTTTGTCGTCTCAAGCATAAGGCTTACAGCAAATTGGAATAAAGCTGAACCATCGAGCTACGGGAACTAAGTCGACTAAAATAAACAGACAGACGATAGTCCGAAAAAGCACAAAACTCAAGTTTACAAAAAAAGGGCCGGCCGGATTGAACCGCAAACCTTTGCCGTCTCAAGCAGATGTTTCCTCTCTACGCCAGATGCGCCGAATGGTTGATTGGACTTGAGTTTATAATTATCCAACGGTAACAAAGCCGAAAAACCAGAGCAGAAAGCCTTCATGCCGAAAGAAATTCGGAAAAATTCTAAACTTAAAAAAAAGTCAAGTCCCTTTTCCCGTCAGAGCACACACACGTAACGACGCAAAATGAGCCCACTAAAGCGATATTAATTAAGCCGAAATGGTCGATATTAATTAAGCCGAAGGAGAAAAAAAATAATTAGGACCGCTATTAATTAGGCCTAAAGAGACAAAAAAAAAGAAAATGAAACTTTAACAAATCGAGCTGGTTAAAATACAACCAATGTGAAAAGCAAATTTCAATTCAGCCGGATTTTTAAAATGCTAAGAACAATTGCAGCTAAGAAATGAGCCTTTTTTAGATGTGGCAACTAAGCCGCCAAAACATGAGCAGGCAAATGATCGCAGAAATTTTTTCGAACCGGAACAAATACCGTTTGAAAAAAAAAACTGGTCCTGCTCAGATTCGAACCCAGGACATTTGCCGTCCTGGGCTTATTCGTTACCTCAATGCTAAGCGTACAAGACACACTACAAATTTTGAATTCAATATGAACCAAGGCACTACCAGTTCAATGAATCCTGTGGACAACGTATCGCAAGGGTAATAAGGCTAGTTTTGGAAAAAAAACGCGCCAAAATAATACAATGTAAAATAAGCATCAAAAGAAATTTTACCAAGCTGCAATTAAGCCGAAAATACCTTAGCAAAAAACCTTCAAGCCGACAAAACAATTCAACGAGATAAAAATTCCAATTTTAAAATTTATCAAGTCCCACTCATCCTCAAAACACACACACAAAACTTCATTTGCCGGTCAAACTAAACAATATAAGCCTCCTGAGGAACGACGCAATTTGAGACCACTAATATATAGGCCGAAACCTATTAAGCCGAAAAAATGGGAACGAAGTTGAAAAAAAATCAAAAAAATAAGACTAAAAAAAGTTATCGAGTCCACCACCCTCAAAACACATACACGCAAAAAAAAAAATTTCACTCGTCGAATGATATAACGCAATATGAGACCACTACGCCGATATAATATAGGTCGAAATCTATCAAGCCGAAAAAAAATGAAATTTTAGCAAATCGAGTTGAAATTTTACAAAAAATGTTAACAAATCGAGTTTTCTTTTTAACAGCTTAAAGAAAACTTCGAATAGAACAGATATTTAAAATGCTAGCACGCACTTTACCGGTGCATGTTAGCACTTTAGTAGCGTTAAAGTTGTTGCTAAGAGAATTCCAGGAAATGAGTCCAGATGAAAAGTGTCCTAAGAACAAAGTTATTTACGGGAAAAATTAACAAGGGTTTATTGGCAAGTGTAATTAACAAGGGTCTATTAAAATTAGCAAGACTAATTAACAGGCGCTTCAGTTCTTACCAGGGTAAAATTCACATGTTCTTTCCTTAAGGGGTAGGGAAACTCTTTACTGGGGAAATAGTTAGCAAGATTCGACATTTCATTGTAAACTTAAACCTGCTTTTTGGATTGTCCAAATTGATTTCATGTTCGACAAAATACTAAGAGTCTAAATCAGATGCATTGCACCACTGTTTATCACTACCGATATTTCGATATAAATCTAGTCATGCTTTCAGCGAGGCTCAACTTACGTTTCAGTGCCTCTATGCTATCGTTGTAGTCTCTCAGAGATGTCAAAATGGCATCCTTGAAATCGTCAATCGTGAAGAAGTCGGGGAAGAATGGGAGAATATCTTCTATTTTGATATGTTCGTTATTCCGAAGGAACTCCATGGCCGATTTCACATCTTTTTTATCCTGGACCACGTAGCGACCTATTTTGAGCCAGAGTTTCTTGATTGACTGGGCTTCCTCGTTCTGCTCCTGGGCGTATGATGCAATCTCCTGGGCAGCAATCAGAGCTTCCTGGAACAACAAACTTGTACAAGCTGGAAAAGAGTAATGAACGCAAATAACAGAAAAAAAATACGAACTTCGAAGAAAAAAATGAATGCCCTCTTAACTTTTTGAATTTCTAGAACACTTTATGATTGGTACTTTGTCGATTAAATTAATCCTATTTGAGAAAACTGTATCAATAATTAAATTTTATATTTCGCAGGGAAATCTGAAAATTAAATTCCATTTTCGAAACAAGCAGTCGATCAAGTTTTTCGTGACCTGACACTTTTGCTGTTCGATAGTGCAGTATGCCTTCCTTTTAACAATGGAAATGAACTGAATTTCAGAAGAAATCAAAATCAAACAAAGAAAAATCAAAACTGAGCGTGAACAAATTTTACGACTTTTCCCTGAAAAAAAAAACAAACAAAAAAATCACCAAGACCTATATAAGAGTCTTCACTAGGTTCATGACTCTTAAAATCTAGCCAAAAGTATGAAAAAAGGAATCTCGCCAAGGTTTGATTTCTAGAAACCATTATATTCATAGCAATGACGTGTGCCGAAATTTTCCTAGAAGGGGCAGCGGCTTTTCAAAAAAATTGAAAATTTTGCGGACCTTTTTTCAGGTCGGCGAGTTGCTTTTTCGAGCTCTCCGAAAATACTATATGGACCCTCTTTTGTCAAAAAATTTTCTGTGCAGTCTACTTTTGCAGTCTCTTTTGTCAAAAAATTTTCTGTGCAGTCTACTTTTTCGAAAAAACAGGCCAAAAAACGGCGTTTTTGGGCACTTTTTTTTGGAAAATTTCGACAAAAAAGTTCAATTGGTCAGCCAATAATCGATGTAGTTAAAGTTATACCAAAGCGACCGACCGCCCCCTCGTCCACCCCACCCCCAAACCCCACCATTCCCCACCCCTCGGCACGCTACTGATTCATAGTGATAACTTCAGCACATAACCAGATCGTTATTAAACTGAGTTTCGCCATGTACGAATAATGCAACGCATTTTAAGCTTTCTCGATGAGCATTTTACTACATTACAGCATAACTCATCAAGAAGCAATGCCTTACTGACTTTTAAATCAGAATTTGAGCAACTGAAGTTTCCACTGACCTCTTTGTTTTCGATTCTGAGCGCCTGATCAACTGCCTCTTCGTACAACTTCATAGTCTTGTAGAGGAATATAGTAGCTTCCTCGTTTCCATGTTTCAAACATATCCTCAGTGCGTACTCCGAGTCATAGTAAGGGTAGGCATTGTCCTTCTGGGTTTCAAGATAAGCAAGGAGCTTCTTTGGCTCGTGCATAGCATACAGGGTTAGAAGACAATTGTGAATTGCAGTGTCCGTGTTCCTCAGATCAGACAGGCAGAATTCTGGAAAAAATCTATCATATAGTGGTTATGTTATATAGTGGTGCAATTTTATACAGCCAATAAGTAACTACTTTTTAAAAATTTGTCGCGACAAAATTGATGATAAACGTTTGTTTTCTATTGTTTTTACGACTGTTTGAATTATGATTTATCAACCAATATCAAGGGATTTCAAAAACTCGCATGGAAAACCACTGCCGAAACCTCTCATTTTTGTATGAGTGGCTTTGAAATCAGATAGCTGACCCAAATAACTAATTGCTTGTCTGGCCACTTTGAAACTGGTGTCCAGCTGGACAATGGCAGGGATGAGATTCTTGGGTTGCAACAGAGTGGCCATTCGCTTCCACACATCCACTGTCTTCACTGGATTCTGCTGCATCAGTACACTTGAGTACTTGTAGAACAAATTAGCCTTCTTGTATTGTGCCAGACGGTCGAGAGCTTCATTGTACTCTTCATTCTCCACCAGATTCTGAAAAGATTTCACTGTTTATTTTAGGGAGAGGAGATACTTCAAAACTGTAAGCAAGATCATCGCTATTTTGACAACAATTCGTAGCAACTTCGAGGTAACTCATTTAAGTTTATTTCAGTGACTCATTTTAATCAGTTTGCCAAATGAATCTAAGCTCAACATATTGTTTTTATCGCGAAATCAGATGAACATACGCTGTTTCAGATCTGAGCGATCTTTAAATAAAGTTTCCTGAAACAGATGTCTGAGACTAGTACCTGTAGCACAGAAGGGTAGTCATTCAGTATCTCAGCTACAAGAGTGAGACTTTCCCTGTCCCCGTGACTCCCCAGCAGATCATAAACCACTCGCATGTTGTTCCGAAGACACTCCTTCAGTTTAACTTCGCGCAGGAATTTGTGGAACTCCTCTAAAAATTAAAAAGCAGAGAAAGTTGAAGCTTACGATTCTTAATTGCAGATTTAGGCCATTTTAAATCAATTTTGGGTGAAATTTCCCACAATACAAGATTTATATCTTTACATCGAGACACTTGGTTCAAGGAGGCTATTCATCTTTAAAGGGAAAAAACTTTCAATGCAAATTTGTAAAGTACCTCGACATGCGTCAACAGTTCCTGATATGATATCCTTCTCATCGGCTAAATGAATCTGCGACAGATATAACTGAATGATCCACATCACTAGCATCGTAATCTGCGCCTTCTCTCCACTTTTCAAATTCGATAACTTAGTACACAAATAGTTCTTCAAAGACATTTTGTCAATCTCTATAAACTTGAGAGCAATCTCCTCAAAAGATGCTTTAGTTCGTGCATACAGATCGGCGCTGTCGTCGAACTGTCCATTTCGGAAGTAGTACTCGGCTTTTCGAAGGTAGATTTCATTCAGTCGATTGGGGTTGTCAGTTCCTGCGAACTTCAAAGCCCAGTCGAAGTTCTCGAGCTCTGAACAAATTTCACACTTCAAACATAACCATGGTTCAATTCTCCTAATCAATTTGCTCGTAATAACAATTACGGTAACCAGAAACACCGGCATTTTTTCAAAATTACAAATTTTCTTCAAGAATTTGCCCTGAACTTTAATCGAATTTTGCAAGTCAGCATACGACAGAAGTTTTCTTGTCAAAATCTTTGTTTGTTCCAATAAAACTGACCTAAATATATTTTCCAGATGAATCGGTCTTCCTGCAGTGCAATGTACTTAGTGATGAACTTGTCAAAGATGAGGTACTGTTCGTCTCTGATGGAGTCTTTGCATATTCCCAGAGAGAAAGAATGAGACGCAGCACTAGGGAGGCCCTCGCTGAACATCACCTGAAACAAAGACATTTTTTCACTTTCAACTAAACAAACGGCATCTTTTACTCACAAAGACGAAGCTGCATTTTCCAAACAAAAGCTATAAAACTGCAAAAATAAAATTAAGGAAAGAAAAAAAAAGAAGAACAAATCTTTGTACCAGAAACGAACCCCTGACTTGAACATTAAGAATCACGATATCGCATCCATCGTCGCTTGACAGTTGTCACACACTGGCCACCAACGTAGCAGAAAAAAAGTGGGCGACGTTATCTGACATTACGCTCAATAGCTAGCTTCTGTAATAACGCTATCGCTCAACTTCAGTTTATTTTTGTTGTTCCTGGGGCAACATACAGCGGATTTTCAACAACAAGGGCTGAAATTTGTGAACTTCAGCTGTCTTGTTTAAGTTCAGCTATCTTAAGAATGAATGACCAGGCTTCAATTACTTAAAGTCAAGAATTAGCAGGTTTGGATCTGCTTAAACGCTAATGAGACTGAAATTATTTCCGCAGCGCATATCTTAGCTGAGTCAAAGTAAACTACTCTTGCACCATCATCAAAAATATGCCAATATTTCTCTAATAATTTTGTGAATATCCGATAAAAATGACCTTTTTGTTGAGTGGACAGACAGCGTGAATGGAACGAGGCTCGTCATACAAAAGCACAATGTGGAATTTCGTGACAGCACAGCCTTTCGGACTAAAACAACAAATCAACCCAAAATTACTATTTCGTCGCTTTTGTATTCTGAAACTTCCTAGACTATGGAATAGATCTTACAGAGCAATGACGTCTGCTTGAATGTCTTTCGGGTACTGAATTATAGAGTGTTTCTTCAGAATCTGATCACTCGACTGTGACTCAACGTTGAACTCGATTATTCCGGGACCTAATTAAAACTAAATGTTGAAGCTTTTTTTCAGGAAATGATTCTTCTAATAAAAAACCGATCACTTCGAACCGAGATATTGAACAGAAACGATGAAACAAAAGACCAATAATTCGCCTGTCTGAAACTCATTTACGCTGAACGTTAAGCGAAGTTAATGATTCACCTTGGTGATTCAAATTATATTACGTATAGCGTTTTGAAAAAAAAAATTGGTGATGCTTGCCTGCAAACCAGTAGAGTTTACTCGGAGTTAGAGACTGACTACTATACAATGGATGTATCTGACTGTTATTGCTAGACACCGAGAACAACAAGGGTAGCACCTTCCTCATGTTGTCACTGTACACTTTAAACACACTCTGGATTCCCAGATCCAGCACTCCGGCCGTACTCTGACCACTGAACATTAGAATTCTATCTTTACTCGCACAAAACACGCAGATCTCATCAGATGCGACCAGAATGAGTTCCATGCTCATAACTGGAATCGGGTCCGCACCCCGCACGTTCGCGTCGGAACCTCTGAACGAGTTTGTGAGCTGGTAAATCTGCTTCGATGATATCAACTCGCCATTGGCATATTCGACTGAAATGATCTCTCCTTTCATAGAACCAACCAGAAAATGCTGACAGCTTTCATTCTGTGTCACTCTATTAAATGCCATACATTGTACTTGTATGTCTTTCAGAAACTTCTGTGCAGTTTTATATTTCTTCATAACTTTCGAAAAGTAGTACGTTTGGTTCATTTCTGTCGTGAACAAAATCAAATTTCCTAAAGGATTTACGAAAATTTTCGATATCGCTTCGACTTTTAGGTCAAAGAAATCTGCAGATGATGAGTCACCAATTATCTTCCGATACAATTTTCGGTCATTTGTGATTCCCAGCGTGAAAACATAGAGCACTGAGTTGGCTATCTGCGCGTGTGTGATGACCGACGTAGGGTCAAGTAGGTCGAAGTCGATTTTGCGCATTGAGAAGAGAGGAGCTTCTATCATTCCGCTTTCATCCAGGTCTCCACCCCCTGAGGATAATCCCCTGTAAGCCATTATGCTGTCTGAAAAGATAAATATCTTAGCATCACCTTTTAGGCTATATTATCGCGTGACGGCGCCCAAATGCCTTGTTAACGTGGTTCCTCTCCCTGATCTTTAAAAATATTCGAGCGAAAAAAAACGATGGATGCTATTATAATATTCCATTTTTGATGCTGTAAATTACAGTTTTCTTTTTTAGCTTAAAAGAAACAAAATATGGCATTTAATGGTTCTTTTTAACTATTTTCAACCGTGGCTGAGTAGGCAAGATGCGCGTCCTTTAACACAAGGTTCGTTGGTTCGAATCATGCTTCGGTCACGGTTGGTGTTATCTTCCTCACCAAGGTGGGACCGGCTACGATGAAACGGAGAAGATCTCTCTACCCCGCAGTAGAAAGGTCAAAAAAATTGAACAGTAAAAAAAGGGTAAAGGACTAATTTTAAAAAACGTTCTCAACACCCTTACTTAATTGCAAAGGTAAAACTCAAGAAACCAAAAAAGATCAAGAAACCAAAAAAGATTATTTTTAAACTACACATCAAAATACACTACTTGTGAAAATGCAAAAACTACTTTGACGGCCAAGATTTAAGCAAACTGGCTTAAAACAGAGTGAAGTGAGAACAATGACACGAAGAAAAGCATGGCCAACAGAACGTTGAAAAAAATTCAATGAACGCAAGGAAACAGGAAAAAACTGACTTGTTCTTTGAAAGAACTTTAACTTTCGATTTTCAAAAATTTGGCCTTAAAGCTCTTTAAATTTAAAGAACAATATATGATTGACACTTTTTTTGTTAAATTAACTCAATTATTTTAAAAAATTGAAAAAATTTTATTCCGCTGGGAAGTCTGAAAATCAGAATCCACTTTCAAAACTAAAAGTTGGTCAAGTTTTTTTGAGAAATTTACACTTTTGCTGATCGATAGTGACGTTTCGCTCCCCTTTAACAACGTAAAAGAACTGAACTTCAAAAGAAATCACGCGTCAAACCGCAAATAATCAAAATTGAACCTGAAATAAATCACCATAACCTAAATAAGAGTCTTCACTAGGCACGACCATTGACTCCTTTTTTCAAACAATTGCCGTAATTTGAAGAAGTTGGTCAATAGATAGCGCTTCGCAAACGGTAAGCGAGAATACGACAAAAAGCAGCTCAGCTCTATAAAGTGCAATAACAAATTAGAAATAAGCCTCGAATTAGTAAAATCGGATATGTCTCGGATTCGAACCTACGACCTAGAGATTATGAATCTCACGCATTAACCACTCAGCCACGGACGCTTCATTGATGACAAACACTAGCCACAGATAAAGCAGAGAACAGATGCTATGCAACTTCCAATTTTGCAGAAACTTCCATATAATGTATTCTTTCAATGAACACTTATTTGCGAGGTAGAGTAGAAAATAAGTAAGGTTCGTTGTAATACACTACGCATTATGTAAAAATCCACTTTCGAAACTGGAACTCGTTCATGTTTTTTTCCTTTTTTCATAATTGGAAAGCGCAGCACTTGCATTCTATAAAGCATGTGCATTGTAGACAAAATTTTTTTTAAAAAATCAAATAAAAAGCTGCAAGATGAATTTTTCAACTTTTCCTGAAAATTTTTTTCCTGAAAATAAACAAAGATTTTACTGGAAAAAAAATTTCCTAAAAAAAACAAAAATCAACACGAGCTTTATTAGATTAATGTCTTCACTTCGTTCAACAAAACTTTGAAAAATTTTGCGGTTGATAGTTTTGTCATAAAAATGACAAAAATTGAGCAAACTGATCAATAGATGAAAGCACAATGTGGGCCAAATGATTCAGTGTTCCTGGTGAAAAATTTGAGCACCTGAAAATAATCTGTTTCATCGAAGATTGGAAAAAAAATAATAAACTGAAGTAAACATTAAAAAACACTGACTTTGTTGAAAAAATCTCTTCGAATTTCAAAGAAAAAAATAGATGCCCTTTGAATTTCTAGAACGATTTATTATTGGCGCGTTTTTGGTAATATTAACCCAACTTAAGAAAATTGGATCAACAGGTAAAGTTTTTATTCCGCTGAAAATCTAAAAATTAAATTCCACTTTCGAAACTAGAAATCGTTCACGTTTTTTCGCGACATTTCCACGGTCGTATTTGGAGAGTGCTATTTGCATCACTTTCAGCATATGAACTTTAATTGAATTCAAAAAGTGCATATATACCTAAGTGCATCAATATTTGAAGACTTTTTCCTTAAAAAAAACAGAAAAAAAAATCAGCAAGATCTATATAAGAGTCTTCACTACGTTCATTACTCTTAAAAACTAATAAAACGAGAAAATATTGAAAAAATAAGACTTGTCCAGAGTAGTTTTTATTGGGGAAAAACCTAATAATAAAATTTTTACAACTTTGGCTAATCTCATGGTAATAAAATTGATTTGAAAATTAAATCGATAAAAGTTTATTCATGATGACTATAACTATATTTACGTTTCAATTTTAAATTTTAATAGAATTGTTAGCACCATAAACAGATACTATACCAGCGACACATCATCAGAATAGATCAAAAAATGGATACGGCCCAGTTCAGACTTTCAAGTAGAACTGTATGTGGTTGCAGTAGCCGGCAATTGCTAGCCAGAAAGCACAGGCGGTGATGTTTTCGATCATGAAAACTTCGTGAGTTGGGTACTGCACTCCCCAGGAGAAGGGGAACCAGCCCTCCAGCAACTCATGGCCCACGTAGAGCAGCAGCGAGTTCATTCCTAAAGCAGCATTCTGGTATCTCAGATCGAACAAACATCTTATAATTTACAAAGAACAAGTCGAGATCCTCCAGAAACTTTTTAATTAGAAATTATTTCGTTGCTATCTACTATTAAATAAACAGCCACAAATGATTCGTAGAAAATCGCATCAAAAGAACCGATTTAGCCAAAAAATTATCTTTGTCTCTTAAAAAGACTAGCGGATGGTCTAGGTTATTTGATCCGAAGAAAAATTTATAGTATTAAACCAAAATTTATTGGAAAAAATCAACGTAAGAGACAATGGCGAAACTGTTCACGCAGCTTGTAACAAGAACGCGAAATTTTTCATTTCAACCAAATTGTGTTTACCTGCATAAGTGAAGGGTGCCCCGTCCCACCACTTGAGCACATCTACCATAATGTAGAGAATAGCGAGGATAGTGAAGCCAAGACAGGCTGTGATCAGCACAAAGGAGAGAGACCTGTAAAAACCAATATTCAGTCTTTAGACAGGGACAATCTAAGATCTTCACAGCAGTCAAATACATTTTTTCATTTCTTCAAAACCGCTTCAGCTCTTCAATTATCTAGCAATCCAAGGCAAATTTCAATAAAAATTTGCTAAAACAGCTCCCAAAAATCCATATTCTCGATAAATAGGGTCCCTATTAGTCATTAAGGTGTCACATTACTCAAAGCGTCAGCTTTCCATTGGATATAAAATTAACCAACCATAGATTCTTGTTCACTGGGATGGGTCCGCTAGTAGTGTTGAGCTGACACAGTCCCCCTCCGAGCACACCTGTTACGATGGCACAGACCAGAAGGCGCAACATCACAGGTTTCCAATGCCAGTAAATGCAAATTACGCGACCCGCCTGATTATCAACAACAGAAGCTTCAATCAACTTCAAGATAATGAGTTTCAAATAGAAAACAGTAGCACAATCTGCGCTATAGCGCACAAATGTGATATGCGTAATGGTTTTATTTTTTCAAATTGAGACTAATTATTTTTTCTATTTTAATTTTATATTGGCTCTACACATTTGGGCGCCTTGTAAAAGGCTGTTCATAGTGAGCAGTTAAAATACCAGAACAATGAAGCTTCTTACATGCAGTCCGCAAAAGGTCAGAAAAATGGATGTAAGACATCCAAGGAGTCCTTCGGGATCATAGGGAAGCACATTGTAGCCATATATTTGCTGAAACAAATAACAACATAGCTAACAAACAAATGGAAAAGAGTCAATAAATGCAAAATTAGACCAATTAGAGAAAACTGAATCAATAAGTAAAACTTTTATTCCGCTGCGAAAACTGAAAATTAATTTCCTTTTTCGACACTAGAAATCGATCAAATTTTTTTTCCGCCATTTCCACCTTCGTATTTGGATAGCGCAATTTGATTGCCTTTTGGCAGATGATTTTCAATTTAACTCAAAAAGTTCGTTTATACCGACGCATAAATGCATTAAACTGTTTGAAAGCAATCCAGTAGTTATTAGAGACAAAGGCGAAGCGGAGATTCGCACCACTTGCGATACAAAAAAAAAAAAAACAAGCCAAAAACTAGGTCATATAAACTTTCATATAGCTCGATAGAAGTTCATTCTGAGCAAACATGCTAGGCACTTGAATTTTCAAAACAGCAACAATGGAACAAAATTTACGAAAAAATTAAAGCCGACAATCTTTGAGCAGAGACAAGTTGAGCCGAAAAAAAATATGAAAAGTAAAAAGAAGTCAGCAAGTGATTCAATTGATTTTGTTAAACTACTTATTAACTAGAAAAAAAGTCTATATTCCAGTTTATTAACGCTTGCTAATCGCAAGCGGAAAGATTTTAAAAGATATAAAAGTCTGAACTACGTTCATCGACTCTCGAAAAACTGGAATTACCGAAACTAACAGGGCTTTAAAATCCTGAAAAACTTTATACTCAGCGGATCTTGTAACCTTATAGCAATGTTTATAGTTATCAAGGTACAAAATTTACATATGCTTTACCGTTGAATACGTACCATATAAAGTTATCAAAGTGGGGAAGAATAGTTAACGAGATTTTGCTCAACATAAAAAACTGAGAAACGAAGCGGCAATTCGTAAGCACAAACGATTAAAGCCCAAAATTAGCTCTAAAACGGTCAAAATTAGCTCTAAAACAAGAGAAAAAATATTAAAGTATAAAAGACCTTTGAAAAGTTGACTCATAAGATTACATAAGGCTCGCATGTGTAAAAAAAAAACGTAACAGCGTCGTAATTTCTTGACCTACCCTTGCAGTTGGGTGTTGATACGTGTGGTCTAGACCAAACACAGTCCTGTCTATGAAACCAGCCACACCACCTGTACAATTTGTCAAATTGTAGTCGGGGTCATACTGAAGGCCTCCGGGTCCAACGTAGCCTCTAAAAATGTATCTCAGAGTCGCCCAGGAGTTAAAAAAATCTGTAGATATTGTGGGGAAAGAATGGTAAAGCTTAAGGTGATTTAAATCTTGACCATTTACTTCCCTTATGAGAGAGTTAAATCAATTCAAGAAATAATGAGATTATTTCAAAATCGATCGCAGAGATCATTACTTTCAGTGAAGGAAGGTTAGAGGCCGACAGAAATTTAGAATTGAAGAATCAAAGATAACTATATGCCGTACCTTGGACATCCATCAATCTGAACCACGAATGTGATAAGAGTCCACACCGCTACCAAGAGCAGCACAACTATCCACTCGACTACAAAGGGCACCAAATCAAGTAGATTATCTGCCACACCGTTCTAAAAAAAAACAGACCATCGTAAAATGAAGTCTATCAAAAGTCAATAAAACCAATCTATGCGGAAATTCACTCAGCTCAAATTTCAACTTTATTTTTTATTTCAGGAACCTAATCAATTCATGACCATGGTCAACAGAAAAATGAAAAAATGCCATTGAACTCAAGAAAATCTTAAAAAAATAATGAATGTGATCAAATCGGAACGTGATCAAAATTAAAAACAAAACTATAAACGACTGAAGTATAAAGTATTGCACAAGATGATTCAGAGATAACGGCGAAGTTACACCTACACAAGCTGCTATATTTTTAAAGACAACAATTTTATGTACTTTGAAGTCGGAAGTGGCTCTTCTGGACAACACGCTGATGTTGGCCTTCTGAGAGTATCTGGCGTTTACAAGGGTAAGTAGGGCTACGAAACAGTAGGCGATGGAAAGACGTTGCAATACGCCCATGATACGAAGTGTGTCCACCAGAACATCTAAACAAATGAGGAATTAATGAAAAGCTGAAAACAACCTAATTTAAAATATTTTTTACACAGTTTACATAATAGATAATGAGTTTTTTTTTATGAAACCTTTTTTGCTTAGGAGCCCACCTTTCTAATTGTCCTCTAGTTTTATATTTTCAGGGTGGTTGGCGATGAGCTGAAATGCTCCTTCAACAGCCCTTCCAGAGAACATATTACGTTAATTTCATTAACAATGTAATGTTTCTGGATAAATGAATTCAAATTCAAACACGTAATAACAAGAGTGTCCAGATGGTGCAAGTAGCACAGAAGGTTCTGAATGCAATTAATTTTGATACATTAAGCATTTTTATACACAGAGGCGAAGCAGAGCTGCGCACCACTGTCGCGTTAACACAAACCTAGCCCTGCAACCTAGCAGACAGAAACTAAGCCGTTTCCTGAAAAAAAAATGAAAAAAAAACTATCACGACCTACATAAATGCCTGGAATACATATATTTACAATTTAAAAAGTAAGCCGATAATTCCACCAGAAAAGCTCAAAAAACGAGGTTTTTCAGGACAAAAGTCTAAAGCCCAGTTACAGTACCCTGGCCAATCTCAAAAATTATAATTTAAACAATTATACATTCATATTAGCAAAACTCGATTATAAAAGAAAACACACGAAAAGACAGAGCAACAATTTTTCAAGGCAAGTCAAATAAGGCCCGGAAATTCTTAACAAAGAGGCAAAGCAGAGTCACATGTCTACATAACTGCGCCACCAACGCTTCATATCCAGAAACACAAGCCACCACTAAAGCGGAAAAAGCAGCTGCTATAAAATTGCCAATGCTAATATGCGATGCAGCAAAAATGCCACTACAAAGGAGAACTAATTTATGCAAATTGGGTCGCAAAAAAGTGGACTCGTAATATTAAAATTCAAACCCCGCTTCAGCCAAAAAGATATATCATTCGACCTTGTACGTGTTTATTATTAATTTTTGAATTATAGTATAAAAAACCCAAATCCATAGTTCCTCCACACTTTCGCTTTTCGGAACAATTAGCCGAAACTTAGGCAACAATATATTAATCTTAGTTTTTTCCTCTCTGAGATGACGGATCTTAAGGTGCTTTCAGCGCTTATCTTAAGGCTAGACACAAGCACCCGTTCAAGATGGTAATAATTACTTAATAATACGTTTATGCAGTGCAATATTTTCACACAGAGGCGAAGCTGCCCTTCGCAAACACTTGTGAGAACACGACCAAAAGAACCTCTATCAAGTGAAATAAGAAAAAGTAGAAATCAGCCTCGAATTAGCAAAAACTCGGCTACGTGTAGGCTTCGAATCTGCGACCTTGCAACTTTGAGTCTCAAGAACTAACCACTCAGCCACAGATGCTCAAATTCCCCAAAAACTAGCCACCAATAACGCAGCTACATATGCTAATTAATTGCCAATTCGATGCAGCAAAAGTAGCACCAAATACAAAAGGCACAATTTTGCAAGTAATAAATTGGAAAGCATAAAGCCACATTATGTATAAATTATGCATTTCAAAAAAAATTGGGAGATACATTGAGTTGGAAAATTTTCGCATTGAGTTGGAAAACATTGAGCGAGCTTTTTATCATTCTACTGCTATTTGAAACACTTAACTTTTTTCAATTCAGTTGATGAATTAAAAATGCATCAACTGTGTTAATTTTTTACTAATCAAATGTTAAAGCACATATGACATTATAATAATTTCGCAGCCTACCGATTCAAAAGTGCCACTAAAAGTAGAACTTTTATCTACGACCCAGGTTGGAAAAAAAAGAAGGTTCGTACTAATACACTCGCTTCGCAAGTGTAAAGGAAACCCAATTTAATACTTAATGGTGGGAAACAGCGAGAAATAAAACTAGTTTTGAAAAATACATGCCAAAACAATAGCATTGAAAGAAAACTTACAAAGCTGTACAAAGCCCAAAAGGGAACGAAAAAATAAATCAAATCCTATATTGTAACAAATCCAGTAGATAAAACTTTAACTAACCTCAAAAGCAAATCTCAACAAAGAGGCGAAGCTTCGCTCCACAAACACTAGCAAGAACACGACAAAAAGCAGCTCTAAAAAGTGCAATAAAAATGTAGCTATTCCGCTACGACTCGGATTCCATCTCCGACCGACCGCGACAGAGATTATGAGTCTCACGCACTAACCACTGAGCAACGGGCGCTTAATTAATCACAAACACTGGCCCTAAATAAAGCAGAGAACAGATTTTATGAAATTTTCAATGATACAGATCGTGATTATAGCAAAACTATCACATAAGTAAACACTTTTAATGAATAATTTTATTTGCGAGAAAAGTTAGAGAAAAGAAAGTTCGCATTACCACACTACGCTGCTCGCTAGTTTAAATGGGACGGATATTTAAAATGCTAACATGCACAGAATATGTGTTGGAGTATTTCCAACAGAGGGAAACAGAAGATGCGTCCGAGAGATTGGTCCATGTATTCAAAATTATCAACTGGAAAAACATCTAGTACCTGTGTAACCGCCAGAATAGGCAGACAAAACATAGCCAACAAACAGCTGGAAAAATTCAATGACCGCAAGTAAACAAAAAAACTGATTTAAATTTAGAAAAATCTCAAATTTCTTTGATATTCTTGAACTAATTTTAATTGAAATTTTTTGATAAAATTAACCCAATTTGAGAAAACTAAAATCAAAAGTAAAATTTTCATTTCGCTGGGAAATCTAAAAATTAAATTCCACTCGAAACCAGAAGTCGATCACGTTTTACGCGACCTTTACACATTTGCTGTTCGATAGAGGAGTATGCCTTCCTTTTACCAAGAAAATGAACTGAACTTGAAAAAAAATCAAAGCTGCTGAAAAAAAAAGAAAATAATCACAACCTAAACAGTCAAAAAAAAATTTCAGAAAAATTATGTTAGAAAAAATTACCTGGAAAAAACTTGACTGAAATAGAAAAAACTCCATATTTGTATCAGATGAAATTTATAAACAGCGCTTTAAAAGGGAAATCATGTACCGAGCGGCAAGAGAGCGACAAACTTTGGGTCGAAACCTGTTGAGCCGAAAACAAAATTGTTGCCATAAAAAATTTCATTTAACTTAAAAGTTTTTAGGACCTATCCAAACTAAAACACATAAGCCCAAACGATTGCCCTCAAAATTACATAACAAAAGCTGACTAAGTCGATATAACATAAGCTAAAACTGTTTGAATATTTAAAAAAAAAAACAAGAACAAAACATGGTAAATTAAAAATTTGTAAAATTTCAGTAGTAATAACTGTTTAATAAAGTAATCCAATAGGACGCTGCCAGATAAAAAAAATGACGTTTAAAAAAACGGAAATTGAATCGACAGAAACTAGGACGAAAACCAGAAACCCGAAAAAAAATTTAGTAATTGTTTTTGAAAAAATAATTACAACCTGAAACGGGCTTGAACTAATTACTGGCTACGTGATAGTTTTTATTTGAATTTTTAAGAAATTGAGCATGTCAGATGAAAGATCCTCGAGAAGTGAAGATTCTGTTGACAAAGTTGTTTACGATAAAAAAGTCTAGTAACCGATTGTAATAACCGTTGTTCATCGACTCTTAAAAACTTTGGACCCATTTGTTACCGACCACGCGAAATCCTCTTTTCTGAAATTTGATTGAAGAAAGATTGGCAGGGAGATCGGAAGAGAGAATGGACTGACCTCGATTGCTGATGATGAGTCCAACGAAGAATAAGATGAGTGTTCTCTTCAGTATCTTGCCCACTGCACTGCGAGGCCTCATTCGCAACTCATTTCCACTCAACGACTTCATTGTGATACTTATCGACACACCCATTATAAACACGAACCTAGAAAACCAACCGTTTACAAAACTCAAAGGCGCACTTTCTTGTAGAAAAAAAAACTTACACAACCTTATGCGCATCCAGTGAGCGATTTGAGGACACTTCATTATGCTTACCATGGAAAGACGAGGTCAGCCAGAGTGAGTCCATCCCACGGCGAGTGGTTGAAGTACCAATAGCCTCCGCCTCCATAATTCACAAAGATCATCAGAATCAGAGACAGTCTAATATGTAAAAACATTCCAATTTCTTAACTCAAAGCTACAAAATCTGCTCACGAAAAAACATTTTCACAGCTCAATACTGCAATTGATTCAGTTCATCAAATACAGGTATTTGATATCTGATTATATCTCTACATGGTCCCAGGATTTGATACCGAAAAAGTATTTTGTTTATCGCCGAAGAATTGAAACAGTACTTTTACCCTCTAAAGGTGTCCACCGACTTCAGCCGTCCGTGCAGACCCGCTCCCAATTGCATCTGCAGTTCCAGTGAAGCTTGTGCATTTGAGGAAGTTAAATCTCCCTGGGCTAATTGTCTCTGACCCGAAAGCTCTGAGGAGAAAGACGACACGAACGATATACGCTCCACATCTGCATGTCCCAGATCCTAAACACCATTGATTCAGATTCTATGATTTTTTTTGCAAGTTGTTAGAACTCTCAAAAACCTGCCATGCTGCAACATAAAATTTAATTTAGTGGTCACTGACTCTACTAAATTTGATCTGCTCGTAGCGTAAAGATGACGTAAGCCGTGAGTAAAATTTACATGAAGGAACTAGGGCAATTTTAAAACCACTGAAATTAAATCCCAGAAAAAGTACTCTTCAATAGATCTTTTTACAGTTTTACTCGTAAGAACCAAATAAAAATTATTTTGAGTACTGATTGAACACCGTGTCATGAAAATATGACCAAACCAGCATTCATTAGAAATTAAAAAACAAAACTTACCGCAGCTGCTTGGCGAGTTTCAAACGATGGGAAGAATACGAAAAGAGATCCATTGCGGTGGAAATGTCTGAACGTCAGAAAGAGAAACAGCAAAACAATGGTATAAAAAGAACCAAAAATCAGACCTGAAATAGCACTTTTGTACATAAATATAACCAACCAAAGTTCATCAAATACTTTTTGCGGCGAGCCTTACCAAGATAAGTTTTGATTTCCTTAGGCCCACTTGTTTTGAACAATGAAAAGCATTCAAAAGCTGTATCGTTGAAATTCGCTAGGCTCATATAAGATGATTCAGCTTCAAACTGCTGGTTTTCACTGAAAATTGATAAACGTTGACAATTAAACTGCTTTTTGAAATTGAATCAAACTTAATTCAAATATATGACCTTACATGCTGCAGGAGCGCGTGACGTTAGCCGCTGTACAACTATAGAAAAAGTCGTATTTGTAGCGCGAATTTACGTAGTATCCGATTGTCATACTTCCCAAGTAAGTTGGCGAACACTAAACATAGACATACAGTTTAGAAGAGCCGTAACTCGGTTTCGTTCAACTGGTTAGTGTGTAATCGACTATATTGTACGCAATTGAAAAAATTATGAAAGGAAAGCAAAAACCAAGGATATGCGGCAGTTGTGCAAGTAGCACAGAAAGTTCAAACAACAATAAAAACTTTTAAAAAAAAAATTTCGTTTTTCTTTCTTCAAATTGGGTCGTCTTTTGAGTGATGTGGTAAAAGGATGTGAACAAAAACCTACAAATTAGGCATGATCGATATTTATGGTAAATTAGACTTATTCGACAGCACTTTTTTTTTCAAAAATGAAAAAATGTCAAATAAAACTGATTTTTTGTCTTTCCGAGCAAACACTAAATTTTTTTTGAAAAACCTAAATTACTGGGAGTAAAACTAAATTTTCACGGCTTAAATAAAAGCTTATGCTTATCCTCCTACTATAAGCTTGCTAGCTCGCTTTATTCGCTCAATATCAGACAAAATCAAAAACTTCAAACCTGTTTTTCTCGACACTGAGAAAATGTTTTGAATAGTTTTGTTATATCGTTCGAATTACGACTTTGAATAAAAGATTTAATATGATATACCGCTCGAATCATTCCAATGATTATTTTTGGTAACTGATTTTGCATAGAAAAAACTAAAACACCCAAAGAGAAAGTTCCTCCATCACTTTCAAGGGTCGGGGCAATCAGATTTCCATGGGATTCGACTCCTTGGTACTTTTTAAGAAATCCATTTTTGGCAGATCGACCCTAAATTTTTTCTAAAGGCGCCTTTGGCGCCAATATATACTCATTTTGAGGGGAAGCGCGCGCCAAAAAAAACGCAATTTTGTCAATATTTTCTGAAAAGTGCCCAAAAACGGCTCTTTTGACTTTTTAAAAATTTGCCAGCGGCGCAGGTAATTGGGCCAAAACAGCGTCTTTTTAGTGCTTTAGGAGAGCTCGGAAAATCAATAAAAAAAGGTCGTCAAAATTTTCGAAAAATTTTTGAAAATCCGCCCCCCAAAAGCAAAAACCCAAAAGATTCAAGCAAAAATCTCAAAGACTAATAAAACGGTAAAATCAAAAATTCCTGAAACTTTCCTGATAAAATTTTGAACTCATTGCATTTTTCGGCTTGTAATAATAAGTTGCATCCGAAAGCTAAGCAAGTAGCACACAGTGTTCCGATTACCTTTCTTTCCTTCTCAGAATTTCTACACAGAGGCAAAGCGGAGCTTCGAAACACTGAAAAAGCGTTGAAAAAAACACATTGAAAAAGCTTGAAAAGATAAATTGTAGGATCGAGTACCGAGCGGCAAATAAGGCAAAAAATTGACTGGGTTGTGTTCAAGAAATGGAAAAATTTCGAAACAAAAACGATTGAAATTTCGGAAAACTGACTTTTATGACCATACCTGCTTTTCTACAAAAAAATTTGGTGTAACCATTTAAGCGGGGGAGATCTCTACACTATGTTCTTCCAATTGAATCATTAACCTCGAAATTGGTGGGACAGTGGTTGAGAAAAGAAAACACGTATACGAAAATATAGTATACCTGCTTCTGCAGGGAAAATTTTCGCAGGCTGTTGTTTTGATTGAACCTACAATCGCATAGCCATATATGCATGGAAGATTCCCATAACCAGTTTTTCGATTGAACTCACAATTTCATAACAGTTTTCATGAAAAAATAAGGACTCGCAGCTTCTACACCAAAAGTTTCGCAACTTGTTCCCTCGGCTGAGTGCTCAATCTCAGATTTAGCAGGACACACAAAAATTTACCAGAACAGTAAAACAAATTTCCACAAAACAGTCAAAAATTTTAATTTATCCGAAAAGCCATAACTTCATCCAGGGCGTAGATACATGCAGCATGAAAACTCTCACCTGTTTTTCGATTGATTTTTCGAACGCATATTTAGCAGCGAAATTTTTGACAGCGAAAATTCAAAAAATTAGAAAAATTACTGTTTTGAGGCCACATCTTTTTCCAATAACAATAGGAAACATTGGCTTATGCAGAAGAGATTCCCGCTACCTGCTCTTTTCATTGAAACCTTAATCACGGATTCAGCGTGGTAATCTGAGAAAAAAAATCCATGAAAATGAGTCTTCGTTGTAAATTTCGATGACCGTTGAAATCGAGTAAGCTAAATAAAAAGACTAGAAAAATACGATGACACATAATATAGAAGCCGATCTTTTCGCTGGTACCAATTTTTTGAAAATCGGCAAGTAATTGTCGTGAAAAAAAAACTGTTTTTGCCCTCAGAACTAAGCAATATGGGTTGTCTAAGCATAAGCCGAAACCGTTCAAACAAAAACAAACTTTTAAAACAAAGAGGCAAAGCGTAGCTTCGTACCACTTGCGATACAACACAAAAATAGCAGTGAAAGCTAGCAGAGAGGAAAAGAAAAACACTAAGTCAAAAAAAAAACACTTCAAAAACCACATAAAAAAATCAAAATGTTGTCTGGAATCATACTCTAATTGCGGAAAACACGTCCATAAACACAATCGACGGCAATTATTGAAAACTCAAATTAAACTTAACCAGCGGCAACTGAGCTGAAGAAACTAAAAAAATTTCCCGTAGAACGTAAAATTGTTGTCATGAAAAACTTTGAATTATAAATTCTATTCTAAGAATTTTAGCATTTTGTGCTATCCGGGATGAAACATAAAACTTATGCTTCCATTGAAATGCAACAAATTAGGTAACTAAGCCGATAAAACATACGCCGAAATCATTTAAAGTAAAATATAACCCGAAAGTTTTTAAGCGAAAAAAAATCCAAAAACAGCAAAATATACAAAGTCAAGGCTAGTAAAATCAAAAATTACAAGAGTAATTCAAAACACTGAGAGCAAGTATATTGAAAATTGCGTACAAAAAAATTAAATTTACGATGTGGCTGAGCGACGAATTCAACTATCAATTCTATGACGTGGTTACGAATTCAACTAAGCCGACAGAGCATAAGCAGACAAACTATAGGCCTACATTTTTTGGGAAAGCAAGATTTTCACTTTGAAAAAAAAAAAACAGTTCCTAGTCAGATTCGAACCAACGGGCTTTGCCATCCCAGGCGTATTCGTTACCACCAGGCTAAATGTGCAAGAACACTACAAAATTTGAATTCATTATGAATCAAGATACAAGTGATTCTGTTAAACAAGTTGTTAACCTGAAAAAAAGTCTTTATTCCAGTTTGATAACGCTTACAAATCGCCAGCGTAAACATACAACCACTCAAAATCCGACTTGGTAAATTGACAAATTACAGAACTTTCTGTTAAGGAAAAAAACTTTAAAATCAAAATAAAATCCATGCTTTATTAAATCAGCCGATAAAAAACAGTAGCAGATACTATAAATTCAATTTTAAAAAAACGGAAAATGAACCGACGGAAACTAGGACGAAAACCTCTAATCCTAATTTAATAAACTTTTTTATTTGAAAAACTAATTACTGAGGGAAACCGATAACACATTTACTACCAAAATGAAGTTAACTTCATAAAGATTTTCAAGAAATTGAGCATGTCTAGAATTTAACAGTTTTGACCATTCAAAGTTAATTGCGAGGAAAAGTTAATTGCGAGTGAGCAAAGTTAATTGCGAGGAAAAAAGTCAAGAAATTGAGCTTTAAATAGAATTTTTTTAAAAAATCTAACATTTGCTATAATCATGCCAGTGACGGAGTACAAATTAGTCTAACGTTCAGTTTGTTTCTCGTAGTCAAATTTGACTAACAAAAAACACCTTACGTCATAGCTACTTACATTCTTCGAGCAGATTGATAGCATACAATGTCGTACGACTATAAGTACAATTTGAGCCGACCTAATTAATTTCACTGCTCGGAGGTAGCCAAAAATGACATAATTTCAAGCTAGCAAACCATCTGCAACAGATATATTTTGAAGATAACAGCTCATACATAAAAAATTAGAAGATGAAAGAAAACACACAGGGTCAAATCTGCACATCGCAAGCACGAGCAACAAAATAACATTCAATCAGATACAAGAACAAGGCATGAAAACAGAATAAACTTTGAAAACTAAAAAAATGGCATAGTACGTGATTCAAATCAACCGCCTAGAGATTAAGAAGCCCATATTATATAGCACACAGGTACATGTCTTCAACGCATCACAAACAGAAGCAGCATTGAGTGGGCTTCAATTCAAAAGTGTACAAAGGGGGCAAAAATGCTCCGTTTTCATGGAAATTAAATGGCATATCTTTTTCTTCAAATTTTGAAATAGATCGAATTAATGTAGAGCATTAGGGCTAATTAGAAAAATTTTTATTAACTTTGAAATCGAGGACTAGCAAAAAAACAGATCCAAAAAACGATTTCACCTGTTCTCAAACTTGGAAACATGAGGAAAAAAACCCAAAGCTGTCTTTACACAAAATTATGTAACATATTGCAGCTCAGACAATGATAGAAGGAAAGCGCCCATGCCAGTAAAGAAAAAATAAACACAGAGGCGAAGCTGAGCTTCGCATCACTTGCGATATAAAATAAAATGCCAAAAATCAAAAGATAATGTCTCAAACGAAAAACTAAATTAAATCTGTTAAAGAAAACGCAGGCTAAAAAATGTCCAGAAAATTTTTCAAGCAATTGTTATCAAAATCAATTATCTAAAATATAAGGAGTATTCGGTAAACACAAACTCCATTCAATTCTTTCTCAACCAATATATAAACGATAAGAAAAAAAATTGGTCAAAACACCGAGATCCAAAAGTAAACAAATACTTTGCTTCAAACCTTGCAACTAAACAATTTGCATATCCTACAAAAACAACTATGTATAAGACAAATTATGTCCGTTATTTGCTATATAATGAGATCAAATTTTAGAAAGAATGCAAACTTGCAGAAATTCTGAACGACTCTAAAGACATATAAAACACAGAGGCGAAGTTGCACTTCGCATACACAAGCAAAAATATGACCGATAATGCTACTGGGAAAAACTGAATGAGTAAGACATTGAGTCTACAAAATTTCTCAAGTGACGCACGCCAATTATAACGCATTATCAGTACCAGTCAATTTAAAAAAAGAAATTTACCAACTAACATTCCTCAATTTATAGAGCAGTCTATTAGGCAGTAATAATAAGAAAAAATAATATGAAATAAAAAAACAAAAAACTTTTTATTTTAAATTTGAGATTTTTTGTAAAAATCATCCCCCCACGCCATATTTACCACAAATTGATAAATTTCGCTCCTAGTAACAAATCAATTATGGCAAATAAGCTTCCTTCAACCAATTTGGAACGATTTCTATGACGGATTAAATCTCCGCTTACGCGTTAACAGCGCGAAATATATCGCGCGTTAATTGTCCCAAATTGGCTATTTTTGAACCACCATAACTTAATGAAAAATGATCACAGGTGAATTATCTTTCCAAATTTAGGCTCAAGACAACAATACTTTTTGAATGATATAAAAAAATTCCGTTAGTTGGAACAATAATATTATGTGTTAATATCTTTAGCATTGGCTGTACTTAATAGCTGGTTATTGATCAAAGTGAACACTTTCAAAATGAAAACATTTTATCGCAACAATATTTGCGACTTAGGTTGGAAAAAAAAGATGGTTCATACTATAACACAAGCTTTGCTGTAAAATTAACGCAATTACATTAAGACATTGAGTCTACAAAATTTCTCAAGTGACGCACGCCAATTATAACGCATTATCAGTACCAGTCAATTTAAAAAAAAGAAATTTACCAACTAACATTCCTCAATTTATAGAGCAGTCTATTAGGCAGTAATAATAAGAAAAAATAATATGAAATAAAAAAACAAAAAACTTTTTATTTTAAATTTGAGATTTTTTGTAAAAATCATCCCCCCACGCCATATTTACCACAAATTGATAAATTTCGCTCCTAGTAACAAATCAATTATGGCAAATAAGCTTCCTTCAACCAATTTGGAACGATTTCTATGACGGATTAAATCTCCGCTTACGCGTTAACAGCGCGAAATATATCGCGCGTTAATTGTCCCAAATTGGCTATTTTTGAACCACCATAACTTAATGAAAAATGATCACAGGTGAATTATCTTTCCAAATTTAAGCTCAAGACAACAATACTTTTTGAATGATATAAAAAAATTCCGTTAGTTGGAACAATAATATTATGTGTTAATATCTTTAGCATTGGCTGTACTTAATAGCTGGTTATTGATCAAAGTGAACACTTTCAAAATGAAAACATTTTATCGCAACAATATTTGCGACTTAGGTTGGAAAAAAAAGATGGTTCATACTATAACACAAGCTTTGCTGTAAAATTAACGCAATTACATTAAAGTTCGAATATGAAACTGATACGCAACGTTAAGAGAGCTGAATCACAACAAAAACAAACCAGAGAAAAATAGAAAAGATCCGTAAAGGAAATGAAAAAAAACCAAAATTCATTTGTTTTCAAAATCTTCAGCAAAAAAATCCTTAAAGTTACTATCCTTAAATTGCTGTCCCAAACAACACCAAACAAATTGAAAATAATCGATTTAAGATCTAAAAAATAAATCGAAAATCCTCCATTCGAGAATTTAAATAAATACTTAAAAATTGACCAAAACATTAAAGAAAGAAACACCCGACAAGTAAGCCGACAAAATCAATAGAGCTGACAAAAAATCAATTTGTATCTGAAAACTTTTTTTTGACAAGAAAAAGTCTGGTAAAAAACCGATTGTAATACCCTTGCTTATCGCAAAGGTAATTATGGCTCGACTCAGGCGCAAAGTGGAACTTCTAACAATAGCGATACAATATAGCAAGTAATGGGATAGAAAATAAGACTGAATCCACTAGCTCAAAAAGTTGATTTAAAAAAATTAGAAAATCTACGAAATTTCATGTTTGTCTCCAAAGATGTTCAATTTGAGAATACATGAAGACAAACACAATAACCAGCGTTAATTCACAACTCATTATCGTACACCGAGCGTGAACTAAGCCGAAAACACTTGCATCGATGTCCGTTGAGCCAAAAAAAATTAAGCAATCAAAATTTGACAGCGGAAAATTTTTATGCCAAACCGCTCCTGACAAACTCAAAAGCATAAGAATCTATTTTTGCGCTTCAAATGAGGGCGATATAACGCAAAATTAAACCATTCAAGCAAAAAAAAAACTTAAATAAAGGTAATTACAAAATCAGAACTGGGAAATTTACAAATTACAGAACGACTTTCAGTTTTGCTGAAAAACGCTTAAATTAAAATAAACGTCAGTTCTCTCATAACTAGGCTGGCAGAAATCAGCAGAAAAACGATCGTCTACATTTATTTTTTCCGGAAAAATAATTCCATACATAAAAAACAAGGTTCGGCCGGAACTAACTCCACACCTTAAGGATCTGAAGACACGCGTTTTACCGCGAGCCCAAATAGGGAGGACCTGGAATCTTTTGAGCTTTCATAAAAGAGCAAAGTCAAACAAAAGCATCCGGCTAAACCAGAAGATGACTGAGAAAAAATGTAAGTATTCAATGGAAAAAACAGTTATTCGGCTTACTTAGAATTTTAGCGAAATATCATTTTCTTTCTGGTTTTTTCTTTTAGAATAGAAGGCAATTATATATTGGGAAATCATGCCAACTTAAATTATTTTTCAAACCCTCACTGTCAAAAAAATAAGCGGGTATTTGTACTTCCGCCAACCTCTCAAAGATTTTCTAAAGGACAGTAAACTCTAACTTGCAAGCATTCGCGACAGACGTAATGAACATAGCAATCCATAGAAAAATCTGTGGTGTAAACAGCTATTAACATCAGAGCTTGATCCTCCATTTGCACGTAAGAATGATTCAAATCGTTAACAGGAGTTGGATAGGCGATATCGTACACAATATTTGCTGAGTGCCTAGTAACCTCAACCACGTACTCGCACGAATAAGTTGCAATAAAAGTAACAAAAATTAAAAGCAACTGTGAATTGATAACCATCATTTCGAAATTCAGTCACCTTTTATTACTGAAAACTATTATAAATTACAATACATGACAATTGGCGATACTTCTTGTTGAGAAAATCATTTGCGTATGGTATAACATGATTCATGGACTTTGTCACAAGAAAACAACAAACAAACTATGTCTAAGACCACAAATACTAAAGAAACTATAATGATGTATTGAGTTGTGTTGCTTCATTTTTGGAAGAAATTACGTGTCTTGAAATCCACTGAATAGCGGTGAAACGTAATTCAGAAAAATAATGGTAATATCAAAAAATTTTTATTTTGTCGCATTAAAGCCCAATTTAAAGATGAAACCTCAACAAATCCCACAAAAGCATAATTAAAGACGAGAGCCAAACGGCAGTTGCCTTTCGCTGAACAATACTTATATTTGCAAAAACCAGCCTTTTTTGCAAAAAAAAACATCTTAGCAAAAAACAAGGACAGCCGATTGTTGTGCACATTCCGAGCAAGTTCCGAGCACATTCAAAAATTTTAACGCCGAGAGAACTATACAAACGCGTTGAAATTTAGTGAATTAGACATAACCGACATCATTTGTTTCAGAAAATAAAGAAAAAACAATAAAGCTTTATATAACAAATATTTTATTTTTTGGCACAATATTTTCAATTTCTTCTGAAACTTTTATAGTCACGGAAGCGCTAAGCGCATCATGACTGCAAGGAGCTTTAAAGTGATATATCACTCGCCCCATTCCGCTTACTAGTCGTGATATCTGAATTTGGGTGAAAAATAAACAAGAAAAAAAATTTAAACACCTGAATACAAAGTTCTTCCCCATTTTGAATGTTCGGAACGAAAACTAAAACACCCGTGAAAACAGACTTCCTTCCCATTTTCAAGGGTCAAAATTTGTACCATTTGGGACTGGTATATTTACAGCCAACATTTTAAGAAAAACATCTTTCGAATAGTTCGAATAGAAGGGTGATCACTTCTCTAGGGCTGACAACTTCTGTCAAGGTAGAGGTGGTCACGTCTCATAAGTGATTCTCTTAAACTCGTTTATAAACAAATTTACCTAAATATTCCATATTGAAAACGCTTGCTAATCGCAAGCATAACTATTATTGCGCCGTAGGCTGCTTCTGTTTCATGGTTTCGAGTAGAAAACAACAAGAAAAAATTTTTCTACACCCGAATACAAAGTTCCGCCAATATTTCAATGATCGTAAAAACTTAACTAGACTAGCAATCCCACTGCAGCAAAAGCTGCTCCTGAAAAGTGATAACGTTTACCTTTAATAGAAAAACCGACTGCATGAATGGTTTGTTTGGTTGTAAGGTTGGAAAAATTCAGACCGTGCAGTTTTTCGAACTAATGTTTTGATAACTAATGTTCATATCAAGAAAGCTTTTCATCGAGGTTTTCTAAAAAGTTT